GGAAAAATACATGGCCCTGGTGCATGGGGCATAAAAATCTAGTGCCATCTACGTATGTCTCCAAACCTAAAACGCCTGGAGCTGGTCACATAGCTCGTAGAAAAGGTTTCCGTTCCTGGACCATCTTTAAGGCCCATCTCTAGATAGCTTGCTGGTGCTCAGCAGGGAATGAGGGAATGACCACTAAAAATCATTTTCTATGGTTTCCTTTGAGGGAATCCCCAGGTACATTCTCTCATTTCCTGCTGAGCACCAGCAAAATAGGGAACCGTCATCATGCATAAGAGAACAACTCGATCTCCAGAACACGGAGATGGGTGTGTCTTCAAAATGAAAACCCACAAAATGCAAGGGTTTGTGTCCCTTGTTCAAGCTAAAACCAAACGCACCCTCAAAACAAACATTTGACACCCCCAAATGCCCCCGTGCTCTGCTGATGTGGGTTCTTCTCATCTTTTTAGAGGCTACCCCCCTTGTTTTATGGTGTTCAAGCTTCACGAAAAGGGCACCCATTTGTTGCGGGCTTTCACAGAAAAATGTGATCTTCACATTTCAGCCTTCGTTTCCTTCGGAAAACAAGCAAATAACAAGAACACAGGAAAGAACGCCTCCTCCACCTTGCGGCCTTTTTTTGTGAAGGGGTCTGACTGACGCCATGTTTTCCTTTTTATTCGGGTCCCACTGACTCAACAAAAAACGGGCGAGGCTTGCCTCGCCGAGACCCGCCGAGCGCCCGCCGCCCTTTGCGCGGAGCGCCGAGCGGAGCGCCGAGCGAAAAAAAACTGCGTCGAAGGCGGCCGAGGGGCGTTGATGATCATCGTAAGCTCCATGGAGCTGTGGAACTCCATGAGCCTCGCCTGGCGAATTCGTCGCGTTCGCGCCGCGCCGCTTCGCGCCGCCGCTGGTTTAAACGGGCGACCCGGAGAAGAACCGGGGAAAGGGCTTATAAGTTCAATCGGGGGGAAAGAACGAGAAAAACAAAAAGCGGCGACACCGCTTTTATTTTGTTTTATTGTTTTTTTTTTTGGGGGGGGGGGATACTTTTTGGGCAGAGCCTTGGGAAGGTGGAAGTTCTTGTTGGTTGCCTCCAGTTTTGGGAATCAAGCAGGAACTGCAAGCAAGCGAAAAGCAATCAGCCATTTTGCTTCACACTCCGTTTTGGACACGAAAAGGCGCGAATCTCTAAGGGAAACAGAACGGAAACCCCCTCAAAGTAGGTACGAGGCGCCTAAGCCACATGGAGCCAATTCTTCCGACAACCAAGGTTTATGGGCTTACTTCGACGGAGCACGCGTGCCCAAAAGGTGTAGTGTGTGGTTCAGGGGTTAGGGTGGTTTCCCATTTGCCCTCTAGAAGAACCAGGCACCAATCCACAATATGGTAGCAACCACATAGGTGTAGTGTGTGGTGCACAGGAAGCTGGTTTTATTCAGCTGGGCAGTAATTCATACTGCCGCTTGACTGCTATGGAGCTCGCTAACAAATCAGGACAGCGAATGTGGGTTCTAGCGAGATCAGAACAGGGAATGTGGGTTCTGGCGAGGCCTCTAGCGAGGTCTCTAGCGAGGTTCTAGCCAGGTCTCAAAGTGAGCCAATGTCAAATCAAGGCAACTGCCCACATCACCTTACCCCCTACTCCAAATACCCACTTTTTTTTACGGTATTTTTTGCCTAGAGGGTTTACATCATACCCTAAAAACAGTGGGTATTGGGTGTAAAGGGGTACCCCCAATTGGTGGTTTGGTTTGGTGATGTGGGGCACCTTCTCCATAGGAAGTCGGGTGTTGAACCGCAAACCACCTATCCAATCCGCCAAGGGGGTGCCTGACCACTGGCGTCCACAAGAAAACGGGACACGAAACAAACACACCCAGAACGAAAGGGTTTGTGCGAGGTATACGCTCCTTCGATAAGACTGTTGGAAGCAGCATGCGAATTGGGGCATGGACTTAGCCCCCGTTTTTGGTGGAATCCAAAGGGAATACCAAAGGCCAAGCAGCCATTAGGGATTTTTTGTGAGATGCACCCAGTCACGCTTTCTTCCAGGTAGCTGCTGAGCAACATCCCAATCACCAACAACAGTATATATGTTTGATTCTCATAAAATGTCAACAACGATGCAGGGATCCCGGAGTTCACGGCGGGATTGTACGCTGACATCCTAGACTACCTGCGTCTCTTGAAAGTTAATAATTCCACCCCAAAAAGAAGAAAGTACTTTCTTCCATGCTGGAGTGATAATTTTTACTCCGTGTTAAAATGCCCGTTCGGGTAGTTCCGACTGCTCAGGCATCCGTTCGGACCCGTTCGGAACCCGTTCGAAACCCGTTCGAAACCCGTTCGAACCCGTTCGAACCCGTTCGTACCCGTTCGGACCCGTTCGGAGGTACGTAAAAAATACACCAACATTACGCAATAAGCCTTTGATAATTTATGTGCAGTACTGATTTATGAACACTTCGATGGTAGTGAACATATCCGTTCAAGAGTAGAAATACCCGTTCGAAAGTGGAAATACCAGTGTCCTCAGGCCAAAAAGTACTTTTTCAATTTTGGAGTAGGAATTCTTAACTTCCAAGAGATCCAGGTACACAAATTGAGGGAATCCCAAAATCTAAAACAGATGCCCGAAAAAATGAAAACTCGAACTCCGGCCAATGTGCCGACTCCCTTGCGCGGGGCGGTTGTTCACTTTTGCTTTCAGCTTTCCTTCGGCGCTCGGCGTCTACCTGAAGATGGGGGTGACCAACTTAGCTTACCTCCAGATGTTTCAGCGGCCCAATGCCTGGCCTGTGGGATATTTGATGAACGAAATCCTGCACCACCTAAGAAACCCTGGTTTCTGATGATTCCCCTGTAAATACCAACAAATACAGGTTTCCCACGGTGTCAAAGCGGTGCAGGATTTAGTCCGTCCACAGTATATTGGAGAACGGGACCAAAGAAAACCAATTTCTTCCCCGCTTTTCCTCTCGCGTCGCTCACTGCGCAACTGCTCCGGGCGTCTTTGAGTCCCATTCAGTCCAGCACGTCGAAGAAGCGAAAGGTGCCTGAGGGAGCCAGCTGCGAGCTCCAAACACGCGACGCACAAATAAGGAGCTGAGGGCATTGCGGAGTCTGGGACACATCTGATTCAAAATACCCGGAGTCTCCATGACCCTTTTTAGAATGGGGCCATCACCCCATTAATTAGTTTGGGTAATGACAGACCCCATTTTGTGAGGGTCATGGAGACTCCAGGTATATTCAACAAACCACTGCCCTGACCCTGTTTGCCCTGCAGATGCCTTCGACAGTGACCTCGTTGTACCCCTAGATCAGCGGGTGATATGCTTTTCAGATCACTATGTGCATGGCGTACCCCTGGGACATGCCGAAAACCAAGCGTGAGTTCCCTTGGTTTGGGTGCCACCCGCCTGACCTCCAAATTCAGGAACGACCTGTCACAAGCAAAGAAGGCGTGAATGGGCGTCCAGCTGACAAGGGTGCAGGTTGACAAGCTGGAACGCCAACAAAAACACAAGCTCCAAAGGAAATGCGTGTCGCCGGAAAAGTTATACAAGCCAGTCTACATATAGTCATGACGTATCATGATGCCTGTGTAGTTGCAGCTTAGCTTGTATCCCGGGTTTTTGCCCTGGTAACTATGCTGAGTAAAGATGCGTCTCACAATTGGATCAACCTATTGTGGCTCACATGATGGCCCGGCTTCAACTTACACTCATGCCATATCTCAAGGATGTGTAAGCAACGCAAAAGTTGGCCAAGCGGGCAAAGGTTGATACGTGCGATCCATGCGGGCATAGGCCTGTGATTTTTTTTAAGCGGATTGATGAACGAAAGTCCAGACTTGGTCTTTACTAAAATGAGCATTCCAACTAGCTCCTCCAGTAGAGAGGTTAGAAGAAGGGTATCCTATTTTGTCTGTAGTCTACTTTAGTAGGGGAACCCTCCCAACCACAAAAGGGTGAGAAAGAGCACCAATTGCTGGGGGACCTAGCCAACACATTCCACGGGTTTGACCGAAAAAATGGTCATACGGCCAAACAATGCCCAAACACTTGTAGTGACCTGTGAAAAAAACAAAAATCCATACGCTGTTCCAAGAAGTGTTAAAGGCCAGACACTGGGAAAGTGATTTCATGCATGCGTTTCCTCCGGAAAGGTCAACTCAACTCATGGAAGAGCAAATGTCACTTCGCCGAAGTGGAAAGGGCGAACGCATGGCACATGGACAAAGCAAAACCACCTGGGGTCTCCTTCTGACCATTTTACAATAGGTCCATGACCCCATTATTTTGGAAAATGACCAACCATTTTTTAAGGGTCATGGAGACTCCAGGCAGCTTGTTGGTGGAAGAAGCTCCCAATTCAGTGTTTCAACTCGCTAGCCTGACCCGTGGGTTACATCAGGCAAAACTACCCTTTTGCATCAAGCGCTCCATGCCCAACAGGGCTCCCTATATTTCCCCTTAAAACATCACCCCCACCAAGGGACACTCACCTTTCATGGGCCAAAAAGGTGATGTTTATCTCACGGGCACACGCGTCGGAGCGAGCGCCGACCTCCGGGCCTGCCGGCGCCGAGGCCAAAACAAAACCAAACAAAACCCCGGCACTTATGGCCGAGGGCAAGACGCACTCCAAGGAGGAGTGACAAAGGAAGGCAACCAAAGAACAGGGCCGCGGCCAGGGCGGATCATCACACCAAGCCGAAGCACCGCAGAGGAAACCCCCGCAGCGGCCTTTGCCGGAGCAAAAGGCGCAAAAAAATAAAGCGAGACAAGGGCGGGCCATCACACGAAAAGTGTTTGTCAGGGACAAGCCAAATTCGGGTCAGGCCCGCCCTTTATAGCATGCGGATATCAGAACCGACAAAGCATCACGTAGCCACAAGCTCATCGCAACCGGCTCACCAGCTCAGCCCGCACCACGCTCCAGAAGCTGGAGGCGCAGTTCAAATGCGGGGCACCATCCGGCAGAGTCTGTGAGAGAGAACATCAGGAGGTCAAGTGCAAGGGGTTTCGGTAGCCCTCACAAATGTTCACGTCCAGCACAGAGGTAGCCGAAGAGCACCAAATGAACTGGGAGGAATCGCACATGTTCAAAGAAGTAGCAGAAATGCTCGCCCACACGGCCACATAGAAGGAAGTGCTCGACCGTAGCCACGTAGGCAAGGAAGAAGCCACAACGCAAATCCAGGTAATCCACAGAGCTCTCATTTCGGACAAAACTGCACACCACACCGAAAAGGACGCTCTCCTGGCCGGAAAGTTGATCATGAAGACGCAGCGCCCCGCCCAGGGGAAGGCGGGTTTTGTGGACGTCCGACCTTCCATCGGAGGAATAGCGGGACCCTGGGGCGCGACTCCCTGAGGCAAATGGCTTTTGAGCCGAGATGCCTAAAAAGGTGATGTTTAAAATCGACAAAATGGGAAATATAGGGACCCCTGCCCAAGCCTCTCCATCTTCTTGATTTTTCCGTTCAGCTGCAATTTATTCTGCACTTACTAAGTTCACAAAAGCCACCACGACCAGCCTCTGCCAAACACGGCCTCACTATCGGAATCCATCTGGACAATTGCCGGAATTCACCGACTCATTCCTTGCAAGGGAAACTGATCATGCTACTCGATCGCTCGTGCCCTTGGATCGGTGAGCTCACGAACGAATTTGCCCACCTCACCCCTCAAACAATAATCGCAACGTCACCGGTCTGCGGCGGCGGCGGGCACTGCCCTGAGGCCTTGAGGTCTTGCGCGATACTGCGAGCGCTGGCGGTGCGCCGATCGAGGTGCGGCTTGCCTGGCCGTTCGAAGTTCTGGCAGAAAGCCTCCGCCAGCTGTGCAGGATCATCCGTCTGAAAGGAGCTGAGTAGTTGCACAAAGCCGCGGCCCATGTAATCAGGCTTGTCAAACAACCAGAACAGAAACACAACTTGAGACTCGACTTCATCTTTGCGCCCTTCAGCTTTCAACCAAATACACATCCAGCAGCATGCCATCCAATTGAAACAGGCCATGCCCTGTGCCGCCTGCCGGTTGCTGAGGATCGAAGGTACCACCTGTCTCCACATCAATGTTGCCCATGCCTGCAACCGCACCCATGGTTCTGAAAGATTCCGTCCGACCTTCCAAAAAGTTCGACAACGTGGCGCAAGTGTCGAACTTGTTCCAGCTCCATGCATCAACCCCATCTGCCATGAGGCAGAGAAGCCAACACATGCTCCGACGCGCCATCATTGCACAATCTTGAGCCGAAAGAGTCCCGATCTTGCGGCTCATTGTTCATCAGGCAATCCAAACGAAAATCCATAGAGCATCCACCATCTGCCACAATACTTGATTCTGGGCAAGTTATCATAATTCCAAAGTAGAAATAAGGAGTCCCAAGCAATGTCATGGGTGAGCTCGTTTCACCCGAATCGGTGAGCTCCTCAAAATTTGCCCAATTGCAGTATGATGCTGCAGCTTGTACATGTCCAGTGGCCCTTAGATGCGAAGAAACACAGACTCCAGTCCACCTGGGGAAAACGAAGGGAATGGCCTCAAACAGCCTGCCTGACTTCAGCTTCCCTCTAAATGGTGTTTGGAGGATTGTTTCATGGGGGCTGGGGGGGAGGGGGGGGAGGGAGGGAGCCCAAATAATCCCATAAAAAGAATACTACTAAGGCCTTATTTGGGGCTTATTGGGGCTCCCTCCGTTGGGCTCCCTCCCCCTCCCTCCCCCAGAGCAGTTTGGAGGTCAAGGGCTATTCTTTGGCCACCAGATCGACGCCTCAAGCTCCCAATGCTTCGTTCCCCTCCGCCCACGGAGGGCAGCAAGTTTATGAGATTCTGCCCCGCGCAGTCGGGGGTCACACCGCTAGCAAGAAGCAACCCACCGATCACCTGAGCGGATATGTTTTGCCCATAAATTAACATGTCCTGAACATGTCGATTGGGTCTCCTGAGAAAATAGGACCCAACTGGTCAGTCCCCTTTCCCGGTCTTATGAACCATAGACCACCAGTGAGGTCTTGAGCACCAGGTTGCTGGCCAACCGAAAAGGCACAGAAACGTCCAGTCCCAGACCCGTTACGGGCGCTTTGCCCAGAGAGTTTCACCATGACCGTCTGACCACTTTCCCTTCAAACCCTGGTCAAAAAAGTCAGCGTGGAGCCCAAGCACCTTCAATCGAGCCACTTTCCAAACGAGCTTTGAGATGAACCATCTCCAAAATATCCAACGCTGGCTCCTCGACTCAACATAACGTGACTCGAAATTCTCTCCATGAGCTGGTTGGAAAGCTGGTTGAGCCATGGTCGGCCATTTCCAGATTCACGAAGAAGCAAGTGCCACACCGGGTCACGTTGGATCCAGCCCGAGAATCGAATTTTATGGGAGACGTTGCCGTAAGGAATCAATCTGCTGTGTCAGGGGACTGCTCCGAATACATAAATATATATATATGTATATATATATACACATATGTATATACACATACATAAATGTAATGTGTATATATATATATATATATTGTAATGTATGTGTATATATACAACTACATATTGTATTGTATGCATATATATATATACACATGGCACTCATTTTGATTCATCGATGCTAGCATTGTATGTTGCTCCTAGCATGACTTTAATCTGGATTTAAACACCGCGTAGGATTCCACCCTTGTGGCTGCCGCAAGCCCAAGGGAAGCCGCAAGGCAAAACTATTTCCGCCCACTGATGCCAAAAGTGCTCCTTCGCCCAAAAAACACTCGTTTCATGCGCACGGGCTTCTTGTAAAATACCAATCGTTACATGAATTGAAAACTATTTCCGCCCACTGATGCAAAAAGTGCTCATTGCCCCCCCCAAACAAAACGCTCGTTTCATGAACATGGGTGTAAAATAACTAATTGTTACATGATTTGAATTTGCGCTCGTTGTGCGGGCATTTGGGCCCGCTTTGCGGGTATGGTTCCACATGTTTCCACGGAACAGATTATATGAGAAGAGACAAGCCGCCGCAACAGCCAAAATGCTCAAATCCAAATTTGCGCCCGTTCCCCGCCCAAAAAGGCCCGAGTAGCAAATGTCTGCTACGAAACACCCAAGGGACACGTACCGAATGAAGGTCCAGGTTTGAAAGCCCAACAAACCAAATAAACTACCTGAAGTCTCCTTCTTAAAAGATGGTTGGTCATGACCCAAGATTATGGCTTCATGGACCCATTTTTTAAGCGTCAGAAGGAGACTCTAGGTACCACCCAAAGGATCCGCGTGCTGCCGACTGCCCGCTGAGCTTCCCGGCGGGCTGAGGGGTCGAAGAGCAATGAGGCGCCCAGCTGCAGCTGAAAGGCACTGCCTGGCGACGTGACGTGTGACGTGCGTGTGTGACGATGACCCACAAATGTTTAGACTCTTTGGGCCCGAAATGGTGGACATTCAAGGTGGGGATTTATGTCCACCAGGATCAGGGTGTGAGCTTCAATAAATGGACCCGGAAATATGAGTGAGGTGGCGAGTTATGTCCATCCACTTTTGTGGTGTCGGAATTATCAAAGATCATAGCCAAAGTACCTGGATGAAGGTGGGGTTGACGGGTTTCGGATCCTGAACAGGGTCCTTTTTGATGGTTGCCGAAAATCCCTCTGACGGGGTCAATGAACGTCCCTCAAACACCACATGGGCTGTTTGTTGGCAAACGGCAGCAAACGGCAGCAGCAACGCTCAGGAAAATCCGATGACTTGCATTGAATCTCATATCTAGGTCACTTCTTGTCCGCACACTGTCACACACACACCAATATGCAAAGAAAAAACACAACTGATTGGCAGTAGGGTTGGGCCAACAGCATATCGAAAACATTCAAAAACTGTTGAAACCCCTATTCTTCAAACAACTTCGTGTTGTCCCTCTGAACGCAGTGATCAAAGGCTGGTTGTTTCAACAATGTTCGCCTATGGCAAGCAAAAGCGGTGGGGTGCGTGGCTGTCCCGCTGCTGTATATAATGCAAGGCAGCCAATCAGCTACCAAGCCACCAAGCCACCAAGCCACCAGCAAACCAGCGAACAAGCACCATCAACCAACTCTCGAACCAACCCGCACACCAACCCCCAACCCCCAAACAGGTAGGGAATGAGAAATGGACTGAACCGTTTGGGGATTCCCGAACAAAGGAATCCACCAAAGGGATGGTTTTTCTTGGGGTCATTCCATTTCTGAGCGTCCCTGCTGAACACCAGCAAGATTTGGTGACGGTCACAACCCCAAAACTGGGCTGTCCGTTTTCAGATCCCCTGCTAAAAATGTTCTGTGTGTGCGTGTGTGCGCAGGCTTGTCTCCTTAGGGACCCCTTGAACGGGTGCTTTGATTGTTGACGTTCCAAATAACCCAAATAAATAAGACTACATTACCCTCAACAATAAACAAACAAGCATGTCATGAACACGACTATACTATACAGCACCCAATAGTAGACATTGATTGTTGCGCACCTCCATGTTCTGCTGTGAGGCGTTGCAGCGCGCTGGTGGCTTGGCTAACTCATCCTAGCTCCAAGCAACACAGTGGATGCCGAATCAAACTGTGAAGTTCACCTGTCGTTCCTTCTTTCAGCCGCTGGATGAGGCGCTCTTGCAGCTGGCTGCTGTCTCGGCCAAATTCCGCACGACCCCAGGTCACAACAGCCCCAGATTCAAGAATGGCAGCAAAAGCGCTGCCAGTTGCTTGGATGAGGCAGCCGTTCCTCAGCTGCGCAGCTGGCTGCTGTCTCCGCCAAATTCCGCACGACCCCAGGTCACAACAGCCCCAGATTCAAGAATGGCAGCCAGAGCGCTGCCAGTTGCTTGGATCTGCTGGACGCTTCTCAGCTGCTCTTGCAGCTGGCGGCTGTCTCCGCCAAATTCCGCACGACCCCAGGTCACAACAGCCCCAGATTCAAGAATGGCAGCAAAAGCGCTGCCAGTTGCTTGGATCTGCTGGACGCTTCTCAGCTGCTCTTGCAGCTGGCTGCTGTCTCCGCCAAATTCCGCACGACCCCAGGTCACAACAGCCCCAGATTCAAGAATGGCAGCAAAAGCACACCGAGTTGCTTGGATATGCTGAACGTTCCTCAGCTCCTCTTGCACCTGGCTGGCCGCCATACTTTGGAGCACCCCATGTCACAACGTCGCCTCTGTGGCCGTGAAAAGCAAACGCCTGATAAGTGGCAGCCAGTTTGCCCAGGTGCACAATTGCAGTTACCACGTCCCCAGCCTCGTCTGGACCCGTCCTGGAAAGAACGCCCCTATGTACGTATACATACAGATACAACAAATATGTTTATACCCTAAGGATCCCAACTCTTTTCGGGGCGTCGCTTGGCATTGGGCCCTCAGGGACAGAATGGCGAGGGGCCATAGAAACACGACCCCTCGTAGCAAGGGCCCCGGCTGCTCGGGGTCCGCAACCGCTGTTGGTCATGCAATAACAATCGCTTTGACAGCTATTGGCCCGCACACCGTCCTGGCCGGCAAGCAGATTCAGTTGCCACGGACAAATCGGTAAGCCCAAGTATTTCCTAGCAAACACAGATCTCGAACGGCTTTCCGACATCTGCTTTCCGACGGTGTTCTCACTCATGCTGGCATTCCGCGGTTTCTGAAAACTGTCCGACGGCTTTCCGGCGGCTTTCTGACGTTTCCGACGGCTTCCCGACGTTTCCGACGGCTTCCCGACGTTTCCGACGGCTTCCCGACGACTTCCTGATATTTCCGACGGCTTCCTGACGTTTCGTTTCCGACGGCTTCCCGACGTTTCCGACGGCTTTCCGACGCTCGGGCCCTCTCGGGCCCTCGGTTTGCCTAGTTTTGAGGGCCCAAGCGTTAGCTTCCCGACGTGTTTCCGACGCCAGAACTTGACGCGCGCCGTTCTAATCGGCACTCAACTGGCCCATAAGTACAAACTGTGACTCTACGCCATTGCAAGCCAATAGCAGCGATAGCGCGTCACCAAAGGAATTTTGCACGGCTCATGGGGCTGTCAGACACACACACACACACCAACAAGCAAAGTCAGCAACCTTTTGGCAAACACGGGATAACACGGAACTCCTGCCAAGAAGCTGCGAAATACCAAACAAGTGAGGACACATCACCAGCCCACAAGTACATCCGAAACAACAGGCAACGCGTTAGCGGTAACACTGTGGACTCAAGCCGCCCAGCCTTCATCCATAGCGCCTGGCCTTTTAGAATTATCTGAAAAACGGAACTTTGTTCTGCGCAGGGGTGTCGTTGCGGCCAGTGGCCAGTTGGGTTTCAGACCTTGTCGCGTGCGCCCAAAACGGGTCTGGGCCCCCGGGGCGTCGAACTGTGAACTGCCAGAGCCCCAGAACGTCGTCAGCAGGGTATTTAGGCCGGACCCTGTCAATGCACATCCCGACCCTTCCAATGCACATACCAAAGAGCCTTAGGGTATATATATATATACACATTATATATATACCTCTACACAATAGTATTATATATATATATATATATCGACTTTGCAACCCCTGGTGAGTCAGGGCCCAAATGTCACCGGATTTTCCCCGAACCCACCCCCCGCCGCTTTCGCCTTCCCCGCGCCTTCCGTGCCTTGCAAGAAGCGGCCGCTCTCCCGCAGCAGCTCCGCATAGCTCACGGGCTTCCGGCGTTGGGCCAGCTCCTGGAGCTGAGCTCGACGACTTCGATGGAAGTTTTTTCACCCATCGAAGACGATTCGGTACACCGAGGAGCCCTGCATTGAAAACCCCCCCCAAAAAAAGAATGGTGGACCCAAATTAGATGATGACAATGTTTAGGGATAAACAATGGTGGTTATTCTAACCCAACCATTGTTTTAATGGTGGCAACTGGGTGTGGGTCAAAAACAGGGTAGCCCCAAAATGGCTTGCCCGATCGGTAAATGGAACCAAGGAGTAAAACCTGCGGTCCCCTAATGGTTTAATTTGGACCCAACTGAACCCCAGGGCCTGACCTGTAGAGTCAAAGTATACCACTCTTCTAGGGGTTGATTCCCCATTCTTTGCTCGATATGTTCTACCCTAAGGATCCCAACTCTTTTCGGGGCGTCGTTTGGCATCGGGCCCTCAAGGACAGAATGGCGAGGGGCCATAGAAACACGACCCCTCGTAGCAAGGGCCCCGGCTGCTCGGGGTCTGCAACCGCTGTTGGTCATTCAATAACAATCGCTTTGACAGTTATTGGACCGCACACCGTCCTGGCCGGCAAAGAAAAGATTCAGGTGCCACGGACAAATGGTAAGCCCAAGTATTTCCTAGCAAACACAGATCTCGGACGGCTTTCCGACATCTGCTTTCCGACGGCGTTCTCACTCATGCTGGCATTCCGCGGTTTCTGAAAACTGTCCGACGGCTTTCCGACGGCTTTCCGACGGCTTCCCGACGTTTCTTCCGACGGCTTCCCAGCGTCTTCCTGACGTTCCCCACGGCTTCCCGACGTTTCCGATGGCTTCCCGACGTTTCCGACGGCTTCCCGACATTTCCGACGGCTTCCCGACGTCTTCCTGACGTTTCCGACGGCTTCCCGACGGCTTCCCGACGTTTCCGACGTTTCCGACGGCTTTCCGACGCTCGGGCCCTCGCGGGCCCTCGGTTTACCTAGTTTTGAGGGCCCAAGCGTTAGCTTCCCGACGTGTTTCCGACGCCAGACCTTGACGCGCACCGTTCTTATCGGCGCTCAACTGGCCCATAGATTCAAACTGTAACTCTATACGCCATTGCAAGCCAATAGCAGCGATAGCGCGTAACCAAAGGAATTTTGCACGGCTCATGGGCCTGTCAGGCACACACACACAAACAAGCAAAGTCAGCAACCTTTTGGCAAACACGGGATAACACGGGACTCCTGTCAAGAAGCTGCGACATACCAAACATTTGAAGACACATCACCAGCCCACAAGTACATCCGAAACAACAGGCAACGCGTTAGCGAGAAGACTGTGGACTCAAGCTGCCCAGCCTTCACCCATAGCGCCTGGACTTTTTTACAATTATCTGAAAAGCGGAATTTTGTTCGGCGCAGGGGTGTCGTTGCGGCCAGTGGCCAGTTGGGTTTCAGACCTTGTCGCGTGCGCTCAAAACGGGTCTGGGCCCCCGGGGCGTCGAACTGTGAACTGCCAGAGCCCCGCAACGTCGTCAGCAGGGTATTTAGGCCGGACCCTTCCAATGCACATCCCGACCCTTCCAATGCACATACCAAAGAGCCTTAGGGTAGGGGTTGATTCCAACCAGTACGATCGGGAATCTCGTGGCGACTACTCTAGGGGGCGATTCCTTCTCTTTGCAATCGTTCTTTTCAAAAACCGGATCTGTTTCCCCCGGGTTTTTAAGATGGTTTCTTGAAAAGAAGGATCCCTGGAAAGAATGGGGAAGGTACCCCTAGATATGTGACCCTTTTTTTGTGAGGGGACCCCCAAAATGAGTGGTTTTCCTGTTGGTTTCCCGCAAAAAAAACAAACAAACAGGTACTCTCAAAATGAAGGGACCCCAAAATTAGGGGATGTCCAATGTTTCCTGCCCGTCCAAAGTCCGGAAAATGAGTGCCCATTTTTGGGAGGTTCCTGTCGAAGAATGGAAGATATGAGTGGTTTTCTTGACGCACCGACATGGCTTCAATTTATTCGGGTTCCTTAAGCCACCAACAGTTCCTCAAAAAAGAAGGCCACACCCACATAAATGAACCCGTCCTATTAATAGGAGGGTGTACCCTCCAAACGTGCATCTCACCTTCATAGGAATCAAACACCATGGGTGTCCGATTGAAACTTTGGCGTCCCTTGAAACGCTAACAATTGGTTCCCCATGCGTTTGGAGAGCGACCTGTAAAGTCCGCCAAGCGAGGAAGTGTGCAGCCGCCATTTCCAAGAGGAATACCGGTGCACCACACCATGCAACTCGCAGTGGACAAGGGATGTTGAGGAAAATCGGAAAACCTCAGAGGGCAACATTCATAGCCGTAGGCTCAGGCCGCTGGTTGCGGGATTTTTTGTTCGGTGCAACCCCTCCCCAAAAGAAACGCGCGTGGAACTAGGAACCCAGTTAAACCAATCAACCACCGAACTGCTCATTTTGCGCAGATCCGGGATATCAATTTGCCACTGTGAACGGATACTCTGCCCTTGGGATGGATGCAAGCCAATAACTGGGATAAGCCATCTACCTCGTGCAGTGATTTTTGTCCATCCACCGGTTCAGCTGGAAATAACCCAAAGGGATCTGGTTTGTTAGAAATGCCTCGCTTCTGTCCTTCAAGACGGCGCCTCGTGCCAACCTATTGCCTTCCATTCTATGACAAGCGGGTGTCCTGTTCGCCTTTTCGAGGGTACCCGCTTTTGGCGGCTTATACTTGACAGGAAGTCTAAAGGAAAACTATAGAGGTCCCCAAAAAAACATGGATACCCTCTTTCCGATGATCGCGGAATTGGACCGGGGCTTCCCCAAAAGTAAGCTTTGATTGGAGGAGTGAACTGACCTCCGCCCTTAATATGCTTCTGGTTGAACAATGACACACTCCACCCAGTGTTTGTCTTTTGATGAGTACATCAGGGCAAAGCACTTCACGGCTGCATGTTCATCAGGTCCTGACATGAACCCGCAATCAAACCAGATATCATCCCACCAACTGACATGGAGCCGGACAGGGACCCGGTCCCTCTAAAAGGAACATGGTCCAAACCTTGACCTCCCGAACCTCAGCTTCCATGTTAATTGCTGGGCTACTACAGAAAAGACCAAAAAAAACCAAAAAAAAAAACAAAAAAACAAAAAACTGCAATCGCATCTCCATTCACCGAGCCTTGCCGGGCTGGCCCTGAACCTCATGGCTTAAGTTGAGAGAAAGGTATCTGATGCGTTCCGAGGGGCCGTGAAGTGAAGCGAAAAAATCGGTGTCACAACGGTCGACCCAGAAGCAGAGACTTGAAAAGGCGGCCGCATCCATTTATGGCGGGTCACGAGCTAATTATCCTCCCCAGGCTTTTTTTTGATTGGCTCAGTTGAGGTAGCCATCAGTCCAGACATGCCCGCTTTCCAACGCCAATCTTCCCACAAATGTCTGACAGCTTCGACAATGGAGAAAGTGGCTGATACAGCCAGTGCGCAAGGATCTGCAATTGGTTTGATCAAACAGACATGCAGCTGCTTGGACGAAAGCTCTCCTACACGAGCGTGTCTTGTATCCATTGATGCAAGGGAAAATGGACTAGTTACCCCCAGTTACAACTAAAGTTTGTAAAAGACCACAAAGAAGGGGTACCCTCAAAAAGCGACACACCGGTCTGGTTTCGGTGTCCCTTTAAAACCCAACGTGCAGAGAGTACCGACTCAAGGAGATCCCACCGGCCGCCGGCCTGACTGCAGGTTCAAGTTGTTGGGGGTCCAAAGCTTTTTCTGGTTTTGGAAAGGAAGGAACCCAGCAAGGGACAAAGGAAGGGACGAAGAAAGGTGCATCAGGAAAGTGGACCAAAGACTCAACAGAAGGGGGATTTTGAAAAGGAGGAACCCAGCAAGGGACGAAGGAAGGTGCAGGAAAGTGGACCAAAGACAACAAACAAAATGAAAGCTTTCCGGGTTTTGAAAAGGGGCGAAGAAAGGTGCACCAGGAAAGTGGCCAAAGACAACAACCATAATTTGGCGCAAAGAGTGAAAACCAAAAAAGACGAGAGTGATGAGACCCAGTAGACCGGACCTGGGAACCCACTTAGATCCGTGAACCCTACCAGAAGGCCGCACGCCATCCAAAAGGCGACTTCGCTCCTGCATGGCTCGCAGAAAGGCGCTCGTCACTGGCCCACGCTCCGCGTTCCGTGCCTGCCACGGGTGTTTTGAGACGAGTTGGGCCCGGACTTTTGACAGCTTCTCAAATTTGTCAGTGGCCATGGAAAAACAGGGCGCCCCTTTTCTGGGCGGTCCGTTTTCTGATGCCCATCCGATTCCTTCGCTATTCACCTCCTTTTTGTTGGTTTTGTGGCTGGGCTTCCATAAACAAAAACTATAAGAGGTACCTGGAGTCTCCATGACCCTTAAAAAATGGTTGGTCATTACTCAAAATCATGGGGTCATGGACCCATTTTAAAAAGGTCATGGAGACTCCAAGTAGTCACTTTCAGCAGGATTGCTGGGAGCCATTCTGTTCTCTTTTTGGTTGGTTGATTGAAAAAAGAACCCCTTCCAGAAAGGGGACAAAGCGCAGGTGGTCTGGAGAACGATTTAATTAGTCCCTAAAAGACCCACGAGAGCATGTGTTTATGACCTTGTGTTGGGGCCATAAAAAGTAACATGCTCAAAAGTACTCTTCACATGGTCAACATAAAATCCGCCAGCGACATTTGAGAAATAACCCCCCAACATGTTCGCTGTACTGACCCGAGTTCCTCCGCCCTCCTGGTGCAACTGCAGTGCTGGTTGTCCGAGGGCATCTTTTCGGCTCGGTTGACAGGGAGAAGCCATTCATCCAGCCACTTTTGGGGGCTTCTGGCTTCTTATTTACCTGGAGTCTCCCTAAGGAGCCTTTTAAAATGGGTCCATGACCTTTTGTAATGACCCCCTTTTTTGTTAAGGGTCATGGAGACTCCAGGTAGACTCATGCCCTGAGCAAGAGATAACACTCGCTTGGGTCATGGTCATTTCCCGAATAAGTCCCTTCTGGTCGAAAACGTTCTTCAGGGTCCACGGCAATCAATGGCAACCAGCAAGCGGGTTGCAGGGATTCAGCTACACTTGGTTTCCGCACATGAGGCAACAGGAGGCTTCTTGCCCCCCCACGCAAACAAGGACACACACACACACACACGCACAAAAATAAAACAAACATGCAATCAGCTCCTCAAACCACCGGAAACCAACAGGAACAAGGAGCACCATTGTTGGAGTTCCCCTATTTGGAGAGTTTCTGAAAACGGTGGACCCCTGGATGGTTTTAAAGGGAAACCACAAGGAAACAACCCATTCGGAATGAGCTCCCTTTGAGAATCTCCATGGCTTCAATTGGTACTCCTGCAGTCGCCCCACCGCAAACCAGCAGGAAAACCATTTACACACCCACACCCACGTCCACATCCACATCCACCCATCCGCCCACGCGCCCACACCGCTAGGAGCCTATGCTTAGCTTAGCTTCGAACAGCTTGCCTTCGCAAGAGGTGACAAGACGCAAATTTTCGCCCGCACAACGCAGACGCGCTTTGAGCTACCTGGAGTCTCCATGACCCTTTAGAGAGGCTTCGCGAGCCTTCGCGGCACACGTATGACGCAACTGCCTTGGCGGAGCGAAAAACCTTCATCTCACAAAACAAACACGCAGCTCATCAGCTCTCCAACCATCATCCCATCACTCCATCACTCCTCCTGTCACCGTTCCATCACTCCCCTCATCCCATTCCCCATCAGTTTCCCACCTTGGTTGACGTTGGAAGGGGAGCAACAATTCAAATTTGAGCTGTTAAGTGGTTGGATTTCAACCTCTAAACCACAAGAAGCAAACATGTAGCTGGAGTCTCCATGGCCCTTAAAAATTGGGTCATTCCCCCAAATAATGCGGTCATGCACCCATTTTTGAAGGGTCATGGAGACTCCAGGTAACATGTTTCCCAACAACAACCATGCCACTCCCGTCATCGCCTGCGCCAGCTGCTCCTGCGTCATCTCCTCCACGCTTCCCGCGAGGCCCACCACGTCGGCCCCGGTCTTCGCCAGCTCCCCGTCCGCCCAGCGACCCGCCGACGAATCCCAAAGGTATGGCAGCTCGAGGCCGCAGGGCACCTAGCGGGGTGGTAGGGGGGTGGTGGATGGGTGTTCCGTGTTCTTGCTTGTTTATTGAAAAGCTTTGGGCAAATGAACTATCTGAAGGGTTTGGATTGTTTTCTGTTTTTTGTGTTTTTGAAGAAGCTTTGGGCAAATGAACCATCTCAAGAGTTCTTAGATGAGACCCCCAAAAAAGGGGTTAATGAGCCCTTACTCTGGGCAAACCCATGTGTTCAAGAGTCATGGAGACTTCGAGGTATGTATTTTTGTGCGGGGACCCTGTTTTGGATGGTTTTAACAGGAAACCAAAGGGAAATCATAGCCCATTTTCCCTGGGTCAAGTAAAACAAGTGAGGGTGATACTAAGATGTGGCAATGATCTTTTTGGGGGTCGGGGGAGGGGGGAAATAACAAGTTGGCGGGGGATCCAGAAATTGGAAACAACACTTTGAGAGGAATCAACTGATTGCAGCCCAAGCACAAAAGGGCACCCTTGGTGGGAACAGGAAAGGGGCCGAAAAGCCTGCGAATCGGGGGCCGAAGCTCCTTAAAACATATCCATCTACAAAGGCTTTGCGTAGAATCTTGGGTGCTGTAGATCCCCCAGCAAAAAGTGTTGAACTTCTTGCTGGCTAGGAAATATGTGGGGAATCCAAAAAGTTTAACTAGGCCCTTCGGTAGAGAGGTTCGAATAAGGGTACCCTTTTTTCTGTCGTCGATTTTAGTAGGGCTCCAAGAAAGTGCGAGAAAGGGCACCCTTTCGCTGGGGGACCTAGTAAAGTCTAAAGATCAAGCCCAAAGGCAGTAGAGAGGCCCCATGACTTGATCCCTGGCCATCCTCATGGCCCAAGCGGCGCAGCAGTCGACCAGCATGGTGAGCCGGGCCTAACCAATGACTTGGCTGAAAGCGGAACACGGGCGACGGACGGATGAGTTGCCGGGAAACCAAAAAAATAACCAAAAAAAATAACACGCTTGAATCAACGGGATACCGTCAAGGCAACGCTCCCCTAAGAGAAAACCCAGAAGCCATGGTTGTGGTTGGTTGCATGGTCGCTGCTAACATTGGAGCTGGTGTTGCTTCTAGCTCTTTGGTTATGCTCAGCATGTAATCTGCCATCGGTGAGCTGGTGGGCGAGTGTATTAGAGCAGTTCGCCGCCCGCACATTAAAAGTAGACACTCGGAAAAGGGGGTTAAATTCCATCATTGATTTGCAGGAGAGTACCCAAAGTGGACCAAACTATCCAGCTGCTTCCAACGAAGCAAGCTGCCGCTAGTGACTTGCCCGCACTTGAACGTGCTCCTTACATTGCATGTCATGGTCAGAAATCACGTTTGTCTATACTATTAATACAGGCACTAATGTAAGGTTGACGATCAGTTGGGGGTTGGTGACAACTAGGCCTGGGTCAACGATGTGAACATGTTCACGTTATCAATGTTTCAACTGGCTTCCCGCCTACTTCGAAAAGGAGCAGGGTCTGGCTAAGCTTAGACCAATTTTGGCTCAGGCGACTAATGACCGCCACATAGAATCCTCGTGGCAACCGTTTGTCCTCAAGCTGGGTCAATACATGCTTGGTACCCCGGAATGGACGGATCCATGCCGGCATACCTGCCGCAAATCCCAAAAAAGCGCGACGGGAACACGAGTCTGACACACGCCTTATTGATCCATGAGGTCAAACTTGCTGGTTCGATAGGCAGGGAATGAGAAATGGAATGACCTCTATAAGCTATCCATCCTATGGTTTCCTTTGGGAATCCCCAAAACCGGCTAATTCCCAACACCCCGGGTCATTCACTCCCTAGTGCGCACCAGCAAAGTGAATCTTCACCCCGGCCTTCTGGCAAAGAGGCAACACCATGGCCTCGTAGGCATCGCGCATGCTCAGGAAGCCTGCCTCACGGGTTGTCGCGTCGGTGGCGCCGGGTTGTCCGATGGGGTCATACCTGAACTCCCCACGCCTGCTCTGGGGCAGTCAGAAGTCTGGACAAGGGTGCTTTGCATCCCCGAGGTGAAAATTATCTCTCTCTCTCTCTCTGTGTCTCTCTCTCTCTCTCTATCTCTGTCTGATTGTGTCTTTGTCTGTGTCTCTGTGTCTCTGTCTCTCTTTTTTTTTCCTATCTCTCGCTCTCTCTCTCCCTCTCTCTCTCCTCCGTTTCTATCTCTTTGCCTCTATCTGCTGTCTCTACCTGTCTGGTGACTGCATGTTGGTGGTGGCTGACATTCAACTCATGCTTCACCTCTCTTATCTTGATATGGATCTGTTCCACTCCGGCGCAGTAAAGCAGTTCCACAGGCCTTCTCGGCGGGTGCTTGGCCTGTGAAACGGATTCCGAGTTCACCTCTGAAAAAGAAAATGGCTGTGGCCCAAATAAATGAAAACCACCATGGCACCTTAGAGCCAAAGACCAAAACCTGCAACTTGATTTGCCCCAGCCCCCCCCGGCCTCGGCAAAGTCGATGGGGCAGAAGGCGTCCAAAAAGCTGTCGCCCACAGGCTGTAGGGCACTGTGGCCACTGAAGTGAAAGAAGAAGACATCGCCTGCAGTTCTTTCTGCTGCTTCTTTTCTTTTTTGTTTTTTTCGGGGGCTGGGGGGGTGGGGATCTTAGGTTGTGCATTGTTCATGTGTTTTTTTGGTTTTGTGTGTTTGTCTTTCTGTTGGCTTTTATTTTTTTGGTTAGGGGGGTGGGGGGGGGGGGGGGGGGGTGTTTTTTGTCAAAATATTTCTCTTGAGTTGCTGTTTTCTTGTCTTTTCGTTTTGGGGGGTGGGGGTGGGGTGGGGGGTGTTCTTGTTATTCCTTTAAACAAGACAGTGCCGTAAATTCATCAATTTGTAAAAAGGGAGGCAATTCAAACAAGTTTTCCCAAAATTGTTCCCCACCCTTAAAAGGAAAAGGGGAAGGAAATACAGAAAAGTCAGGCGCCAAAGCAATCATTTATTCCCAGTGGCCGAATTCCAACCTGTTCAAGGGGCACTGGGACGAGCCCAAAGCAATATCAAAGCAAGACTCAACCAGTTTTACACAGTACTGGGCGAGCGCAAAACAGTACGAACACCAAAACAATTCTGAGCCAGTGAGCAGAGACTATTTGAGGCCCAACTCTGACCACCGATTTGTTTTTAGATTCTCTCCCATTGATCTCGGACAAGTGCTGCTCTACATACAGTAGTTGGGCTCTGCCGCACGCTGAGATAAAACCTCAGGCCAATCTGCACTCGGATATGCCACGCTAGGGTGACTGTGAGTGTTTGGGGGAAGACCAAGGCACAAGGAAGGTTCGCCAATGATGTTTCCCTAGCAAACTGTGTTCTAATCGTAGGGTGCAGCTCTGTGTTTCTTCCTGGACACCCCTTGGTGGACATGATTTAGTATGGGTATGTATGTCCACCAACCACTTGTGAGGATATTCCACATTCAAATTCATAGCCATCAAGTGCCAAGTCAACCTAGGGACGCAACATTTGGTCCAACTGCCAACCCGGCCGCAAATGCCAAAGCTGTGGACAGCGCTTCGTGAGTCAGTCGCGATTTGCCGATTTGGGCATCCCTTATGACAAAGGGCACCTCAAAGCCCTGTTGATCTCATGCACTCTTTGCCGATGGCATGGGGGAATGCAAAACTGGCCAAACCATAGGTTTGAGGTTCCTTCCCCCGAGCCCAACCCCACAGAGAAGTTTGAGCAGTTCACGTTTTTGCCGACCCGAAGCTGAGAAAAGTTGAGGGTTGGCCCAGCCGGTTCCTTGAGCCATGAATTTCCGCAGAGGCGCCAGGCGCGCAGTTGTGGCTCAGCCAGCACATAGCCGCCAGGCAGTTTTGCCGCGTCGCCTCCGTTTGTCTTTTTGAGGGTACCCTTTTCACCTTGTTTTGAGGGAAGCCAAACGGCGGCTTCCACATTTTGACACATACATGAGCCCTGGACAAAAAAGCACACTGCTGCAATGTGGCCTTCATGCTGATACCCCAGTCAACATTTGAGGACTGCGGAGGTTGACCCAGGTGCAATGGCAAACAAAGCCCTGGATGCTCAGAGAAAGACTCATGTGTTTCAATCCAATCAGTAGGACCATGTGACCAATCCGCATTTGGAGCAGGAACAGGGCATCAGCTTTCGCACCCAATCCAACTTTGCAAGGTCGGGACACCAGAAGATCCAGACACTCCCTGGTGGCGTGGCACAAAAAGCGCGTCCTGGAGTCTCCATTGCCCAAATAATGGTTGGTCATGGACCCATTTGAAAAGGGTCCTTACGGAGACTCCAGGTAGTCTTTGTTTGGAGGGCATATATTAAAAGCGAAGCCCTTTTTGCTGGAGGGGAAAACTGCAGTGAAGATTTGGGAAGCAACCAACAATGAGGGGTTATATTAATACAGGGGTTAGGATGTGTTTCCAAAATGAGTCATCCCCTTTTGGTTTCCTGGGCAAGTTCAGAGTTTGCTAGTTAGCAAACGGAACAGACGGAACAAACGGAACAGATCGTTTCCGGAGAAATGGGTGTAATAGGGGGACTCAACAACTGGCTTAAACAATCAGAATTGGGCTGCAGAGCACATCCAGTCATGATTGTAGGAGTTAATAACTAGTAATTATGTTGCCCCTTGTGTATATATATATATATATATGCATGGCCATGAATCTTAATAGGGAACCACCTCAAAAGTGATTGGTGCACATGAACCCCCACCTAGATGATGTCCACCAAAGGGTCCCTTATTAAAATTCATAGCCATATATATATATATATACATATATATATATATATATACATTTGTACACATTAATACTACCCTCAACACGGCACACACACACAAATGAGAGTGCTCTCGCTCGCAGGCCTCCTCCTCCGGCAGCTTCAGGATCCACTCCTCTGGAAAGCCCAGCCTGGCACTGAGATCGATCCGTGGCGATCCCCACGCCGGCGACTTGTTCTCTTTCGGTTTTCCCAAGGAAGCAAAGAACCAACCCGGTGATTCCCGGATTCTTTGAGGGTCCCCATTTATTGTGGTTGTACAAAGAAGCAGCCAAGTGATTTTCCAGCTGGGTGCCTCTTTGTTTGAGGGTCCCCGTTGTTTTTCTTTGGGAGGGGGGCGGGGGTGAAAGGGAAAAGGCGCTTCTTCTTTTTCCAGGAAGAACCAACCCAGTGATGCCATCTGGGTCAATCTCTTTCCTTTTTTTGCGGATCCCCTTTTTATTGTTTCTTTTTTGGTTTTTGGAGGGGGGGGTGAAAGGGAATACTAGAAGGAACACCATATTTTGGGGGCCCCCTCAAACAAGACACAACCCATGCCAGGGGTTGTCACAAAATGGGACCCAACAAAATGGCGAAGGTTTCTGATTGGCTTCCTTTTACAACCCACCAAAAACAGAGAAGAAAAAAACACCTTCACGGGGCTCAGTGGTTGATTTGTAAGGGTATGGCTCGCCGCCAAAGAGCGCTGGAGCCCATCGACTTGCTCCATGCTCATACAATGCGATGTGGGTGTTTCTCACCTTACCCAGAGCTTCCTCGGCCGTAGCTTAGGCCTTTTGTCAACGTCCGGTTTCAACACCCCGTAAGAAGGCCACGTAAAAAAAAAAAAAAAAAAAACACACACACCCACCCGTGTTTAAAAACGGCCTCCGGTAACTCAACGGCCTTTGGACTCCCTGGGTGAAATTTGGCTCCCGGGCTTCCCGTGGCGCTTCCCTTGACCAAACTTCGATCCGCTTCCTGTGCGCTTCCTTCGGTTCCCGAGCGAGTTCAACTCGAGCCATTTGGAGCAACGTCCCGGGTCCTTTTACTCACCCGGATCAGAACCCCGTCGAGCAATGGACTGGGCCTCGGAATGCTTTCCGCTTTCCAGCTGAAAGCTGAAAGGATACGCCGAAGAGTAATCCAACTCGAAAACTGCAAGCGACAAGGTGCAACAAATGAAGGGGACACATCCAAAATGAGCACAGCCACATTCAATGAAACCTCACTTGCTCAATACTTCATGGGTAAACCAGCAAGCAGCTTTCCAAAGTGGGTGTTGGAGTCCTATGATTAAGCACACCTAACCGGCCAACTGTTCAAACAAGGAACTTCCAGCAACTTCAAGGAACTTGTCTGGTAAGGCTCGGTGTTCCAGTAACCTTCCTCAACCCTCCCACCCTGCAACCTCCACCCTGAGGGCAGACAGCAAAAAAAAGAAGTTGCGCGCACATGTGTGGCAAATCAGGCCTAAAGGCTGAAGTGCCTCAAGTTTATGCCTGTCCGGTCTGGGGAAACCTTTGATTCAAGTCCATCGAGGCAGTCCGTGTCTGGCAAAAATTACGGTTCACAACCAGGAATCAGGAACCCCCCGAAGGAACCAGCAAGGCTTAAATCAGTCGTGTTGCCCCCCGAATCGATGGGCTCTTTCCTAGTCGGCCAGCTCCCTCCCTGACTACCCCTGCGGGTTTTGCCTCTCTCCAGAGGGGAGTGGGTCCAAAAAAGGTACTCAATATGAAACTCTGGTACATGGAAACATAAAACCTACGCTTCCCTGGTGCTTTAATTTTGACCCATAAATAGGCCTATTCACAAACAAGTCATTGCAACCTCCTTTTGGTGCCCCTTGAAAAACCCTCCGCGGCCCCCCAATTTGTTTAAAGGGCCACGCCACGGCGTGGCTCAGGCATCCCAGACCCCAACGGCTTCGAACCTTGAAGGGCCTCCAAGAAGGTCCAAGGGTCGAGGGAAAAGCCAACTCCGGGTATTGGTCCAAGGACCTCCTAGGGTGGGTTTCGGTCCTTTTATTTGACCCAGTGTTATTGTTTTGTGTGGCTTGTTTTCGAAAGAAACACAATCAACACTGTGTCTTCTCTCTGCTTTGTTTCTGTTCACCGAGTTTCCCCTTTTGGTGTCCCAAAAACGACCGGCGCCCAACGCCGGCTCCTCGACAGGATGGCCGCCACCTCCGCCATGTCCCGGCGTCCCGCGCGGCCGAAGCGCTCCGCGGCCGTGCCCAAGTAGTCCAGGCCGATGAGCAGCGCCTAGCGCTCCGTTTCGTGGAATTGAATAAGCACCATATGTTGTTGTGTTGTTTTGTTTTTGTTGTATGTTGTTTTTTCAATGTGTTTGATGTATAAGGGTTTCTTTACAGAAACCCATGCTGTGAGTGGTGTCTTTTGGGGGAAGTCCGGGAATCACAGAGAGAAAGGTTATTTTAATAAACACCATATTTGTTGGTGTTACAATTTGTTTGCCCAAATGGATCTTAAGTAAACATCACGTGTTTGGTTGGTTGTTTCTTAACAATGATAACCCCGGTTGCTGTTTTTGGATAAAGACCCAATGTGTTTCTGCTTGCTTGGTGTTTCTCAAAGTAGGAGCCCTCTTTTGGGATTGGTACGAGGAAACCAAAAGGAAACCAACGACCACAGGTTCCTCAAAATGAAAAAGACCCTTTTGTGTTTTTTGCTTACACCCGATGCAAACCCAATTGGTTGTTGTTTGCTTGATCAAGACCCTGTGTTTGCCTTTGTGTGAGGGATGGGTTTTAAGGGTTTTTTGTCGACTGGGTTCTTTTCGGGGTTGTTGTCTTTGGGCAGAACCCGAGGAAACCATTTGGTGGTGCTCCACCAGTTCGAGGCAAACCCGAATTCACCAGAAGGAAGCCAAGAGGCGGCAAACGAAGCGGTCAATGTTTGTATTATCCAGTCAGAAAATGACGGTGGTTTCCCGGCAATTTGGTGGGGACCCAATGTCAATCCCTTGACAGTAGTGAACGCTTAATATGGACTGCTGCGCACGTCCTTTCCCGAAAGGAGATTCCAAACGTGGTGGTTTGTGTTTTCACCCTGCAAACATGCTTAGCGACCCCAAAACCCCAGGTTCTCTGGATTTCACGTGCAAGGAAGCCCTGCAAACCAACGGGGGGAACACAAGAAGACTCCCAAAACGGAAGGAACTTGCGGGCTTCCTGGCGGCTTCGCGACCCGGCACGGTTCAGCTCCCGGGGAAATGGAAGCTCTGCTCGGCTTTTGTGTTCGATGTCCACCTCCCTGGGTTGAGTTCAAGGGACCCCACATCATTAAAAAAAAAGAAAGAAAGAAGGCGAAAACCACTTCTTTGGCTCTCTTGGATTTGCGAAATGAGGGCTCAGAAGTCCAAAAGAGGCGCTCAAACGGCGGTTCCCTTTTCCCTTTCTGGGAAACATCAGGAGAAGCTTACGTAGCCAAGAAGTAATCCTATCCCCCTATCGAATGCAAAAAGAAAGAACGGCGTGTTCCAAAATCAAACTCCATCCGTACTAAACTAAAACTAGGCAAGTACTAGAACAATACCAAATCACCAAATCCATCTGCCAACCCCAACTGCAGTCGCGATTTGACGATTCTGTAGACCAAAAAGCCCACCCCGCCCCAATTGGAGTGAGTGGCGCCCAAATCCCGACCGATCCCCGAAATCAGCCCCATCCCGCAAAGAGAAGGGGTTGTGTTTGTTGGTCGATCTTAGAGAGGTGTCCCCTTTGCAAAAAGTGGAAAAAGGAAGCAACCGACTATGGTAATAGGAAGCAACCGACTAAACGTGGAAAAAGTGGAGTGTCAAAAAATGTATTGGATATTGATCAGACACCCTGTGTCCCACTGGCAAGCATGGCATACCCCCCCAAGAAAAAAAAAAGCTGTCTTTCTTTAGGCCCCAGCAAAAAACAAGGGGTTCCTTGTCAAAAAAGCATACAGTGCATGGACGAAATCCATTTTGCACCACTCGGTTGGGAGTTGTTGAACCAGTATTTGGGCTTCATCCGTCCTATCTGCAGCCTTTTCTTGCTGGTGCTCCGGGAATGACGGAAGAAAAACCATCCAACCGCTTTGGCAACTTTTTTCGGGGTAAAGCCTGGGTATCAACTGATGGTTGCCTTCTTTCGGGGCAAGCCTGGGTTTCCTTCTTTCGGTATCTGCATTTTTTACGCGAATTCCAAGAGCGATTCCCGTGTCAGGAGCTTTCTCATGGCAAGCTCGTTACTTGGCTGGAAGTAGCACCCCAGCAAAAAAAAAAGAAGAGTGTCTTTGCCCGGCTGCGGCGAATGCAAAGCACCACGGGGAACCATCCAAAAAGCGAAGGAAACAAGAAAACACGACAGGCGCTATAATTCTGGTGAGCGCGCTGTACTTCCGCGGCCTTGCGCCGCGGACTCCGTGCCGGCGCTGCGGAGGTCACCGGCGTGGGCACTTTGGGCCAGGCAGCGCGGAACCGCGGCCACGGAAGCCTCCGAAATGAGCCACGCAGGCAGTACACAGGGTGTCGGGTATGCGTGCGCGCGTTCGATGTACAAACGTGTACATGTATAATCTATATAGAATAAGTGTGTATGTGTATACATATATATATATATTACCATATAATACAAATATGTATGTGTGTATATATATATATGTGCTAGCCCCCTCCCATTCAACCATCTACCTTTGTCAGTGGTTTGTGTCATAAGAGAGGCCAGCAAATACAGCTGCTGTCTTGCATGCATCTAGTTCTGTGTCAACCCTGTTTTTAGAGGGACATGTCTGACAACTTGCATATCCCTCAAACACTAATGAACCACAAAACTTGCAAAACACAACTGCAAACTACCAACTAAGGTAGCCCTTTTGCGAACTGCATCCAAACTCTCCAAAAACAATTCCCAATTCCCGCGGCAGGACCCTAAAAGCGATCCAATTTTAGGTCCCCGCATGCTGATACGTTTACGAGTCCTTCATGTCAATCATGTAAGTTGCATTTTTCGTTCTCAGCCTAGCCGTCCGGAGATCCTTGATTTTATTTTGCGCCGATCACCAAAGTGTTTGCCAACATGTACTAGGCTGCAAACACGGGACCTCGACACTTCAGGCAGACCAGGGGTCTTCTCCTAGTGGGAAATCCACGCCGAAATGGTAGCCCTTGGTTGCGCGACACACAAACAACAAGTGCCCTCAAACAAAGCTATGTTACTGAAGGCGGGCAAAGACACCGGCGCTTTGCTGTTAAGGCCGGTGTTCCCACGGCACCGCTGTGGCCATATCCGGCTGGACCCACGCTGCCATCATGCGCCACACATTCGATGCTTGGTGGTGCAACATCGCCCTTCTGTCCATGTCACCCTCAATGATCCCCTAAGGAAGGGGTGGATCCCCCAGCCCTTCCCCACATTTTGAGAAATGGCTCACCACCAATGGAGATCTCCGCGCACTCAAACACCCACGCCCGTTCTCTGAATGGCTTAAGGCGTTTAGTTGTCATGGAGTCTCGAAGGAAACCCGACAAGGCCAAGCAGCAAAAGGCTTACATAAGTCTGACAATGTTATTTTCATATGACGACATGGGTATGTCTTACAATCTTGTGACCCCAAAATGGCTCGTTCCCTTTTGGTTTGCTTTGTAACGCGCAAAAAGGGCACCTTCAAATAAGCCCAGGTGATGTCCCCAACAGCCCGCAACCCTCTGAACCCTCCCTGAACTCTGCTCCAAACCTGCCCAGAGCCTATCTGGGCAGAGACCCCATAGCTTTCACCTGGGGAAAAAGACACACACCCTAGCCACATCGTCCACAAATCCACCGCTAGGCGCCACTCCGCCGGCTCCGCCAGATCCGCCATCTGCGCCGCCGCCGTGGGCGGCGAAATTGGCGCCGGCGCCGGCAGCGCCAGCTGCGCCGGCTGCGCCGGCGCGGAGTTCGTGGGCACCTGACGAGTCGACGCATTGGCAGTGGCTCAAAATTAACCAACTAGGGTCACGCTGGATTTAGTCTTTGGTTCCATTTGCCAAGGGTGCCATTTTGGTACATGATTTTGAGCCACAGCCTCATGTCATTCGCCCAGGGCAGGGGTCTTCCATGGACGTGGCTGAACCTCTAGCTTGCTATCGCTGCGAAATCGATAGGCAGGGAATGAGACATGGAATGACCCCAAAAAACCATCCAACTGCTGATTTATTTACGGGGACCCGTAGATTCATTATCTCGTTCCCTGCTGAGCACCAGCAAGGTAAGTACTCAGGTGTTTAAAGCCTTGGCTCAAAGTGGAATGCTTTTGCAATGGCTCAGACCCGGGATTTGTGACAACAAACGTAGCTTATGTGTGTAGTTGACTTTGAAGGGACCCCTCCAAAAGAAACAGGCCAAGCACGGCACCACGAGATTCCCAGAAGCACGATGCTGTTGAGTCGAAGTGTGGAACTCATGAGAACTTGGCGAAGCTTCGTGCGTTTACAGGGGATCTATCGTTGGAGTCCCTGTTTGGACAAAAATCAAACCTCAAAGTGTACAAAACCGGTAAGGGACATCCTTTGCTTTTTGTTCCAGCAAACAAGCCAACAAACAAACAAGCGAAAGAACAACCAAACACACAAGCGAACGGGAAAGCTTACAAACGCGCATACGGTTCATAAACACAGCGTCCAAACATTGTGAGTCAACAAATCATTGATAGTTTTACTGGGGCATCATGCTGTCAGGGACTATATATGATGACCTGATTTGGCTATAAACCATCCCACAACCCAATTCTAATTACTTAGGCCCTTGTAATATGTTTTAGGCCCTTCCATTTTGAGAAACCGCCACCTCTCTTAATGCTACCATCAGAAACATTCAGCCGAGGGACGGAAGCTTCAAGGACCTGCGTTCCATCTAATCAACGATCCAGACGACTCACCGTGAGGACTCAGAGCCAGACGATGCAACCAAAACCTAGCAACCAAAACCTAGAAACGAGCAAGACCCAGGATCAATTCGCACCAACCCAAGCAATAAAAGATCACCCCAATTCACAGAACCAATGCAATCCAGCCCGACCCAAGCTTTAGCACTGCCATAAAAATCCATCCCACCTGCGGCCAGCTGCTGGGCCACGAAGGCACGCTGTCCTAGCTTAGCGCCGCCAGAGGAGCGGAAATCAAAAAACCAAACTGTCTTTCGGTTTGCCACCAAAAATGGTCCAAGCCCAAAAAGTGACTAAAGTCTAACTCAAGTGAGCAGTACTGGCCATGGGGCATAACCTATGGCGATCCCATTTGGGGGTGGATGAACATCCATGTGCAAGCTATTTTGATGTTCACCAGGGGTACAGGGTTTTGAAACACAGCCAACTCTCTTTCGGTTTGCCACCAAAAATGGTCCAAGACCAAAAAATGACTAAAGTCTAACTCATCAAGTGAGAAGTCCTAGTCAAGTGAAGCAAATGGCCCCCTTTGGATTGGAGGATCTCTATGCCACTATACCATCATCCAACCCAAAGTGGCGCAAATGCGCAGCAAGAATGAGGCCATGCCCACGCCAAAACAATCGCGAGGAGACCCATGGGCAAGCCTCTGGCGACTCGCAGCTCCATGCTTCTGCTTACTCTGGGATCATATCCCAGCAGCGCATATGACATTGGACCTGGGTGTTGCTTTTGGGCGGTTTTCGCGTGAGCTCCCCCTGACACGTGACCAACATGTGCCAATTGCTCACCCTAAACCGGTGGTGTCCATCTTTCATGCGAATTCTAGCTCTCTTTGCTTACAGTCACTTGCAAACCTGACAATAGGGTGATTACAGTAGTCTAGTTGACAGGGTGATTACAATAGAGTTCGCTTGATGATTTAGCAAGCCTAGGGTTACAGTCTGAGAACTGATGTTTCGTTTAGACAGAGGGTTCAGGTTCTCGGATTCGCAGTTCACTTTGGTTCTCGCTGTGGCTGCCTGGTGATATGTTCAAGTGTCGAGCTGAAAGCAATTCCTCCCAAAAACAAACATGCAACCACTTAGATGCCCAGTGGCCATGGGAAAAAAAGGGTGGACGGCTTGAGATCGATCTTTGGTTGCCGCAGTTTCGTGGCACAAGGATACCAGTTGTTGCTGTTTTTTTCTTGGAAAACCGAAAAGGACAAGACACCCATTTTTGGGCAATCCCCAAAACAAAAACGTTGTTGTTGGTGTTTTCCTTGGATCACCAAAAGGACAAATACCATTTGTGCGGGGTTCCCGAGAAAACAAAGGAAGAACACAAAGACAGCCACATACCCTCGGGTTCACACCACCACTAAAACAATGGGGGTTAACAGAACCACCATTATTTACCTAAGGCTGTCATCATCTAACCTGCTAAAAGTTTAACTTTTAGTGGTTCAATGGAAACCCATGAGTTGGCAAATGGTTCAAGTCCTAACATCCCTTGGCAACATGCAAAGTCAATTGGTTCCTTGCCAGTCTTTTCAGGGCTCCCAAACTCCAGGGCACGGGCCGTACCTGGAGTCTCCCTAAGGACCCTTAAAAGTTGGTTGGTCATCACCCAAAATAATGGAAAGGGTCATGGACCCATTTGAAAAAATCGGGTCATGGAGACTCGAGTTCGGCGTTTTTTTTCTTCTTCTCCTCGCCTTCGTGGAGGGCTTCGTCTCGTGGCTGGATTGAATGCTTGCAAGGATGGCCATCCTAGGCGAGAGGGCGGGCTGCAGCTGGGCTGCTTTCAGGTCCCCGCGAGTTTTTCCGCTTTTTCACTTTGAGTGGCTTACATGGACAAAAAACACCAAAGCCCGAAAGCCTAAAAGTTTTTCACTTTTAGTGGCTTAAATGGGAAAAACCGCTAAACCCCGAAAGGCTAACAAAAGCTAAGGAACCGGATGGCTGGTTGAGCCAAGTAACGCTCCCGTTCCGGATCCCGAAATGGACGTGGTGACCCATTTGCAAAAAAAAAACCTTCCGGGAGCTTCCTCGTCTAAGGGAGTGCAAGGGGAACATGATCGGGAGGTTAGAACCATAACGATTGATTCAACAGCGAATCGCTCAACCTGAGATTTGGCGGCGACCCCCTGCGAAGCAAACAAAAGTAGCCAAAAGTAGCCCCAGTGCCTCCAGTCACCACTATAGTAACCAGGGCTTGTGACCTCTAAGTTGTACCGTGGATGGCTTCGCCATGTTGCCAACTATGGTACTGGGATTGATAAGTGGGAACGCACACACATCATCCCCCTAAGTCGAAAGATCCATGCGAGGGAACCTTCGAAGAAAGGAGCAAGGACACTTTGGGCCCGAAGTTGCAAACCAAATCGGGACCCCCAGAATGATTGATTTCTTTCCTTTTGATGTTCCAACAAAGTATACGTATAAACAAATAACGAATGCAATACTCAATGAAACTCAAACCCACTTGACTACAGTCACTCAGGCAATCAACATGTTGACAGTTGCTCACCTAGACCTTCCTTGGCGTGTGTCGCGATGCGCGGGTGGTTTCCCCCGACAAAACTGTTCCTTCCTTGGCTCAGCACGCTTTGTGTCCATGGAACATACAGGCTCGGCTCCTCTTGCACTTGGCCACTGTCTCCGCCCTTGTCTGCATGACCCCAGGTCAGAACTGTCAGTTGCTTGGATGTGCTAAACCGCTCCTCAGCTGCTCTTGCACCTGGCTGCTGTCTCCTCCGCAGTCTGGAACACCCCAGGTCACAACAGCCCCAGATTCAAGAATGGCAGCAAAAGCACCGTGATTTGCTTGGATGCACTTGACGTTCCTCAGCTGCTCTTGCACCTGGCTGCTGTCTCCACCGAAGTTTGGATGACCCCAGGTGACAACAGCCCCAGATTCAAGAATGGCAGCAAAAGCACCTTGATTTGCTTGGATGCACTTGACGTTCCTCAGCTGCTCTTGCACCTGGCTGCTGTCTCCACCGAAGTTTGGAACACCCCAGGTCACAACGTCCCCAGATTCAAGAATGGCAGCAAAAGCAAAGCCATTCGCTTGGATGTGCTGAACGTTTCTGAGCTGCTCTTGCACCTGGCTGCTGTCTCCACCGAAGCTTGGATGACCCCAGGTGACGACAGCCCCAGATTCAAGAATGGCAGCAAAAGCAAAGCCATTCGCTTGGATGCTCTGAACGTTTCTGAGCTGCTCTTGCACCTGGCTGCTGTCTCCACCGAAGTTTGGAACACCCCAGGTCACAACGTCCCCAGATTCAAGAATGGCAGCAAAAGCATTGCGAGATGCTTGGATGTGCTGAACGTTTCTGAGCTGCTTTTGCACCTGGCTGCTGTCTCCACCGAAGCTTGGACCACCCCAGGTGACAACAGCCCCAGATTCAAGAATGGCAGCAAAAGCACCTTGATTTGCTTGGATGCACTTGACGTTCCTCAGCTGCTCTTGCACCTGGCTGCTGTCTCCTCCGCAGTCTGGATCACCCCAGGTCACGACGGCCCCAGATTCAACAACGGCAGCAAAAGCATGCTTAGTTGCTTGGATGCGCAGGACGTTCCTCAGCTGGTCTTGTTCCCGGCTGCTGTCTCCGCCGACACCTTCACGAGCCCAGGTCACGACAGCCCCAGATTCAAGAATGGCAGCAAAAGCACCGTGATTTGCTTGGATGCACTTGATGTTCCTCAGCTGCTCTTGCCCCTGGCTGCTGTCTCCACCGAAGTTTGGATGACCCCAGGTGACAACAGCCCCAGATTCAAGAATGGCAGCAAAAGCACCCGCCTGGTTTGCTTGGATTTGCAGGACGTTCCTCAGCTGCTCTTGCACCTGGCTGCTGTCTCCGCCGTAGATTGGAAAACCCCAGGTCACAACCTCACCGCCGGGGCCATGCCAAGCGAACGACCTACAAGTGGCCGTCAGTGTGTCAAGCTGCACAACCGCAGCCACCACGTCTCCATTTTGCAAGCCAGCCTCACGCAACGTGACTGTCGAATCGAGCCGCCGGCCTTTTGCAGTGAGCTTCAATCGGCGCTGGAAAGTCTTCTGCGCTGCGGCCCTGAGCTCGCTGATGAGCGTCGAGGGTGAGACCTCAACGGAGCAACCATCTCCGCTGGGCAAGTGAACATCCACCTTCATGGCGCAGGAATAGTTTTCTGTGTGTGTATCAAGTTGCCAAGCACGATACTACGGGAAAATATAGAAATAGGGCTCCTTTTGAATTTCTTGTTCAGGGAACCCAACTATTAACAAGGCTTCACATTCTTGCACACCCGTAGAACAAAAGACACTTCATGGGTCATGAACCGTCCCTGGCGAGGACACCCGCAGCTGTCTAACCGGCACTTTATGACTGAGGGCGATTTTCAGCCGCATCCAAAGCGAGATCGACGTCAGCGATTCGTTGGTAGCGGTGAAGTGAGTTCCATCACGTCTCCTGACACTGGAACGCCACCAGCACGACACCACCCGAAAGACGGGGCTCTTCCGGAAGGACTGCCACACTAGGGGACCCGAACAAAAAAAAAGGAGGAAAAACGGGCGCCACTGGGCAACTGGGTCTACATATTTTGCTTAATTCAAAGGACACTAGCAGGCCACCAACCATTCGGAACAGCGCCTGGGTGCAACTGGGACAGCAACAGGCACACCACGTCATCGGACACCAGCAAAACATGGCAGCACAACACCTGCAGCACAACGCCGGGACACCACTGGGACACCACTGGGACACCACTGGGACACCACTGTGAGTTGGTTTGTTGTTTGTTGTTTTGTACTAAAAAAACAATCTTAAAGAACAAGCACTAAACAACTCACCGCCTGGCGCCATTTCGTTTTCGTTGGAACACTGGGAAACCGGGAACAGCATCCATATAACGACTACGCCAGTTTGCGCCAGGGAGCCCGGTGGACGCCTTTGAGTCAAGACTTCCAGTGGCTCACCGGCAATGCACCGCTGAACCCTTTGAACAATTGGGGGGACACTGAACAAAGGCCGAATGGTCAGCTCAGTTTCTTGCCCAAAGCGAATCGATCTTTTGACGTCTTGGCTTCCCCTTTTAGTCATTCCAAGCTCCATCTGCCCCTTTGGGCAAACAGGGATCCGGATGCATGAAAAACACCTCATGAACATTGCAACTTGTGTTCTGGTGGTGTCCATTTCTTTATTTTGGTGTTGAAAAAGTGACATGTTTCAAATGGTGGCAACATCTATCTTTTAAGGATCCCTGCTTGAAGCTTGCAGAAAACTAACAAGTCACAAGGTCGGAATTGGGAGACCGAAATCTTCCTCTCTGTATCTCAAGAAAAGAGTATACAAACTCACCTAGGGAAACATGCAGACTTCCTTCTGGTGGTGCTGTGTGGTTTCTCAACATGAAGTTGGGTGAAAAGATTGGGGGATCAACCAAATAAAATCTGGCACAACGGCAGTGGACAGTGGCAAATTGAAAGGCGTGTCAGGCATGGCTTCTCAAGGTCAGGAGGTTCTACACCAAATCTATCCGTGCTACAGGCTTATATTGGCGGCCTATGAGCCTCCATACCTCCAAACCTGCAATATCTGCAAATGCAGAGTGAACAGTTCCTGATTTGGGTGATCGGTGCCAGGCTTCCAGACTCCGGGATTGACCAGGTGTTCTTATGTGGCTGCTCAAAAAACGGAATTCCAAAATGGAAGCCGATCGGTAAGTGGAAACATGGGTACCAAAACGTGCGGAGCCAGCCCCTCCGATCGTTTAATTTTGAGTACCCGTAGCTAATCATCAGCGCCACCCACCGGAGCAGCTCCAAGATCCTGAGAGCCCTCCCGACGTGGGGGCCATCTTGGCTTTGACAAGGTACGGTTGACCCCATAAAAAAAGGAAAAAAACAACAACTAATTCGCATAATTTCAATCACTTCAGGAAATTATTGGAACCCCAGTTGTTCAGTGACCATGGTAAAGCGCAGGAACCTTTTTTGGGGTTGACCATCTTAAGCGCGAAGCCATCAAACAAGCATGGATGCCACTGAACAACTGGAAAAAAACAATTAAAGCTGATCCCAAATGCCCAGTGGCCATGGGAAAAAAGGGCATCCGTTTTTGGTTGGTTGGCTTTACAGGGAAACCCTTCCCCACGAAAACAAAAGAGGAAGCAACCCACTGGGCAACTGGGTGATGTTTGCAGGACACATGCTTTGTGTCAACGGCCATCACACCAGCTCACCAGATTGTCCCAACGCAGATGTGCGAGACGAGCAACTGCTCGGCCAGCTCCGGATCATCTAGCACAGCAGCAACCGCAGGCTGCGCCGGTGACGGCGGAGGGGCTGCATCTTTCAGAGACGCTTCGATGAAGATCTTGCCTCAGTTCGAGCTTTGGCCAGTTCCACGTCGACTCATAGGATTCCAAGCCTCCGTGTTACGGCCTTTTTTGGAGGACGCCTTTTGCCAAGCCCAGAATTCCAAGAGTAAAGCCAGGTGGCCAGTCACGCATTGGCTTGTAAACGTCACCCCCACCAACAGGAAACTGGCTCAAGCGAAAGGTATTTGAGGCTGCGGTGTCCCTCGTCTTCCATTCGAAAGGTCCTGTGCTCCACATGTTTGCCAGCCAAAAGAGATACAAAACTCTCTGACTTGCCCAAAGGATAGACATACAAGGTTAACAGGGATCCTTACATTATACACCTAAACATTGCCTTGTAAATGGTGGTGTCCCTTTATTTTGGTGTTGAAAAAGCAACATGTCTCAAATGGTTGCAAAATGGAGATCTTTTAAGGAGCCCTGGTTCACCTGTTGAAAGCTCGACTCAAAATGGAGGAGAAACCCAAACGGCTAAAAGCTGGCCCTCGTTTCTTTGCAAAAGAGGCCTCCAGAAAGCCATGGCCGATCATTCGCCAAAGCTCGGACGAGAGCCTTTTTTTGTTGGATTTGAACAACTCTACCTGGAGTCTCCATGACCCTTTAAAAATGGGTCCTTGACCCCATTATTTTGGGTACTGACCCCGTTTTTAAAGGGTCATGGAGACTCCAGGTACAAGGCTGTGGGTCAAAAAAAGGTACCCAAAATCGAACCCTAAGTGGAAACATGGACTAAAATTCCTGCGGTCCAATTCTCCTGGTGCTGACTAATTTTCACCCATACCCAAAAGGGACATGCCCTCGGAACAAGTTGCAACAAGAAAATGTTTCCAACAGGAGGCCGAGAGTTTCGAAATCTAAACTATCAGATTCTGTACCATACTTAGTCAACCAGGGAACATACAATATCGAAGGGAAACCCCAGTAGTTAGCGGGGATCGGTGTGTCACAAAATGAGGGGACCTCCAACTGCTCCATTTGGGGGCATTTGGGTCATGACGATTTCCGTCACCCACTGCCCAATGGCTGCGGGTCAAACATAACCAAAATGGGTCGCCCTGCTTTCATGGAAGCAAGGACTCAACAATTCCTGGCTTCTCCATATGGTTCCATTTTCGCCCCCCAAGCCGAAGCCGAAGCCCCAAAAGTCCTTCGGCTCGGCCCCGAAAAGCCAAAGGCCAAGCTCGGGAACTCGATTAAAACCTGCGGTTAAATGGAGACATGGGCTAAAAATCCAGCCGTTTAATCTTGACCCATACCCAGATGGCTCCATTTTCCCCCATACCGAAGCCGAATCAAAAATGCACGGCTCGGCCCCGACCGAAAAGCTCGAAACAACTCGAGGAAGACGTGGCCCATACCATCCCATACCCATATGGTTCCATTTTCCCCCATACCGCCGAATCAAAAATCCACGGGGCCCCGAAAAGCCATGAAGAAACGACGTGGCCTCCGTACTTCTCCTTGTGCTCCAGCGCCACCCATCCGCTGAAGCTCCTCACGGCGCTGAAGGGCAGATGCGCCTCAGCCGCCCGCTTGTCCTCGCGGATGTTGCCTCAGGGAAATCGGGGAAACTCGGAAAACTATTTTTGGGGGCGGCGGACGGGGAGTTTGTTTTTCAACCATTTTTTTGGTAAACACTTGTGAGAGTTCAGGCCTCAAGGGGGCGGACGGGGAGGGGGCAAGGGGGGGGGGGTGTTGCCTCAGGGTTCTTGGAAACCCGGACATGTGGTTGGGGTGAGGGACGGGGAAGGGGTGAGGGGGGGGGGGGTGGTGGGCGGCGGACCAGGAGTTCTTTTCTTTTGTTCGTTTAAAAAAATTAAACTGTGAGAGTTCTTCAAGATTTCTTTTTGAGGCACTCCGCAATGGGCGGACGGGAAGGGGTGAGCGGGGGGGGAGGGGGTTGAGGGGGGGCGGACGGGGAGGATTGTTCTTAACAAATTTCATTTGTGAGAGTTCTAAAAGATGTCTTGAGAATGTACACCACAATCGGCACGCGTCCCAAGAACATTAATCCCGGGCATGTGTTGATGGGAATTTCGAGTTGGCATGTCAAACCCCTATGAGCGCAGGACCTCAATCAAGATCTCAGCCAAAGCCGATAATTTCAGGGCGGGCCCAGCACCACAGAAAAGGCACGGTCTCAGAAACTGGTTGCAGAGTTGGCGAGGCATGCCCCACGCGATTCTCGCGCGCAGCTCTGTGTCCGAACATCCGGCTTCAGCGATTCAGTGGCTTTTTCAGGCTCACATGTTGCAGAAGAAGGTCATCAGGCAGCCCTAGCATGGAAAATCCAGGGGATCACTGACACCTTGAAATGCACGCAATCAAGTTAGATAGTTGTTTCACTATTTCACTACTAAGTTCAGCTCTGTGCAGCCGTTCAAGTACCTGCTCATGCATTGTATTGCAATGTTACGTGGCTTCAGGATTTTAACGTTGTTGTTGTTGCTGCTGCTGCTGCCTGCTGCTGCTGCTGCTGCTGCTGCTGCTGGTGGTGGTGGTGGTGGTGGTGGTGGTGGTGGTGGCGGTGGTGTTGTTGTTGTTGTTGTTCTGTCCGAAGCGAAATAACGCCGCGCTCTGCATCGTCACAAAATACTGCAAATCGCAGTGTTTTCAGCTTCGCACGCAAAAAAACACCGGTATTTGCGGCGTTCTGGTGCTTCCCTTTTCTCCCGTGCAGCACGCGCTGAAAACATCGCAAATACCAGCATGTTCTCATCTCGGGCGCGGAAAGCACCGCAAATACCAGTGTTTTGTTGCGTCACTTACGCAACATACTGCTAGTTAGTTAGTTGCACATCAGCATGGTGCACATGCATGGCACATGATGAGCACGCTCACGTGAACTGTGTCAGATCTGACATCTCACATGGCTCTTGACATGACACGCGTGCGTCACGCGAGGTTTTGGGCTCATTCGCTGCTTTGGCCAAGAAGCTTTTGTTTTGTGCAGCATAGCTATGTCCATGGAAGTTGACGATTGGATCGTGCTGCGCCTGCTTGTCTCTTTCCAAGACGCTGCGCCCGCATTTCTGCCAGACAAGCACAGTCGCAGGGATTGGCTGGCTGTCGACATGCCGAAGATTCTGGTGGCCATGACTCTCACATACGGCATCCTCAGATGGCACGGCCCAGAAGAGGATTTAGAGTTCTGTGTTTTGTCGGTGATGCTTTGCTTTTCCATAGTCATGGCATGAGTTTGACGGCAAAAAACACGTTGGAATAGCGGCAGGACCGGGAGGCTTTGCGTGAGTTGACTCTGCTCATCACGATCTTTTCATCGCTTCTGCATTGTGAGCAAGGTATTTGCAGCGCTGTGCATCCAGACCTTCCTGGTCCTGTTCAGCTCGGCGGGCCACTGCCTTTCAGGGAAAAGGCTCGCCGCTGTTGGCCTTTTGACTGGCGTGGAGAAGCTGGCAGAGCGCTTGTGACGCTGCGTGAAGCTCTGGCAGTGTCAAACGATACTTCGCAGAGTGTGTCTCGCGTGGATGATCTTGAGCCACTCTTTGATAGGTGGCTTTGCCGCGCTGACGATTTGTGTTTGTTGCTTGATGGCTTGTAACACTTCTGGATAGTGTAGTTTGAATGATAGCTATGGTGAGAATGCGGGAAAAGAAACGCTGACTGTGCAGTGCAGACATGCACGCAGATGGTAAGAACCAACGCTCAGCCACCACATGCTCAAGTGCTGTATCCACGCCTGCCACCTAATCAGAACACCCGCTCACGTGCACCCGCTCAGCACGGTATCCACGCCTACCACCTAATAAGAACACCCGCTCACGTGCACCCTCCCAGCGCTGAATCCACCTAAGAAGACAACACGCGCTCACGTGCACCCGCTCAGCACTGTACCACGCCTACCACCGAATAAGAACACTCCCTCACGTGCACCCGCTCAGCACGGTATCCACGCCTACCACCTAATAAGAACACCCGCTCAGCACGGTATACTACCACCTAATAAGAACACTCGCTCACGTGCGCCCGCTCAGCACTGTACCACGCCTACCACCTAATAAGAACACCCGCTCACGTGCACCCGCTCAGCACTGCATCCACGCCTACCACCCAATAAGAACACCCGCTCACGTGCACCCGCTCAGCACGGTCTCCACGCCACTTAATACGAACACCCGCTCACGTGCACCCGCTCAGCACGGTATCCACGCCTACCACCTAATAAGAACACCCGCTCACGTGCACCTGCTCAGCACTGTACCACGCCTACCACCTAATAAGAACACCCCCGCTCACGTGCACCCGCTCAGCACTGCATCCACGCCTACCACCTAATAAGAACACCCGCTCACGTGCACCCGCCCAGCACGGTATCCACGCCTACCACCGAATAAGAACACCCGCTCACGTGCACCCTCCCAGCACTGCATCCACGCCTACCACCTAATAAGAACACCCGCTCACGCGCACCCGCTCAGCACTGAGCCACACGCCTACCACCTAATAAGAACACCCGCTCACGTGCACCCTCTCAGCACGGAATCCACGCCTACCACCTAATAAGAACACCCGCTCACGTGCACCCGCTCAGCACGGTATAATACCACCTAATAAGAACACTCGCTCACGTGCGCCCGCTCAGCACTGTACCACGCCTACCACCTAATAAGAACACCCGCTCACGTGCACCCGCTCAGCACTGCATCCACGCCTACCACCTAATAAGAACACCCGCTCACGTGCACCCGCTCAGCACGGTATCCACGCCTACCACTTAATAAGAACACCCGCTCTTGTGCACCCGCTCAGCACGGTTTCCACGCCTACCACCTAATAAGAACACTCGCTCACGTGCGCCCGCTCAGCACTGCATGCACTAAGAACACCCGCTCACGTGCGCCCGCTCAGCACTGCACCACGCCTACCACCTAATAAGAACGCCCGCTCACGTGCACCCGCTCAGCACTGCATCCACGCCTACACCCTAATAAGAACACCCGCTCACGTGCACCCGCTCAGCACGGTATCCACGCCCACCACTTAATAAGAACACCCGCTCACGTGCACCCGCTCAGCACGGTATCCACACCTACCACCTAATAAGAACACCCGCTCACGTGCACCCGCTCAGCACTGCATGCACCGAATAAGAACACCCGCTCACGTGCACCCGCTCAGCACTGCATCCACGCCTACCACCTAATAAGAACACCCGCTCACGTGCACCCGCCCAGCACGGCATCCACGCCTACCACCGAATAAGAACACCCGCTCACGTGCACCCTCCCAGCACTGCATCCACCACTACCACCTAATAAGAACACCCGCTCACGCGCACCCGCTCAGCACTGTGCCACGCGCCTACCACCTAATAAGAACACCCGCTCACGTGCACCCTCTCAGCACGGAATCCACGCCCACCACCTAATAATAACACCCGCTCACGTGCACTCGCTCAGCACGGTATAATACCACCTAATAGCACTGTACCACGCCTACCACCTAATAAGAACACCCGCTCACATGCACCCGCTCAGCACTGCATCCACGCCTACCACCTAATAAGAACACCCGCTCACGTGCACCCGCTCAGCACGGTATCCACGCCTACCACTTAATAAGAACACCCGCTCTTGTGCACCCGCTCAGCACGGTATCCACGCCTACCACCTAATAAGAACACCCGCTCACGTGTGCCCGCTCAGCACTGCATGCACCTAATAAGAACACCCGCTCACGTGCACCCGCTCAGCACTGCACCACGCCTACCACCACCCGCTCACGTGCACCCGCTCAGCACTGTACCACGCCTACCACCTAATAAGAACACCCGCTCACGTCAACCCGCTCAGCACGGTATCCACGCCCACCACTTAATAACAACACCCGCTCACGTGCACCCGCTCAGCACGGTATCCATGCCTATCACCTAATAAGAACACCCGCTCACGTGCACCCGCTCAGCACTGCATGCACCGAATAAGAACACCCGATCACGTGCACCCGTTCAGCGCGGTATCCACGCCTACCACCTAATAAGAACACCCGCTCACGTGCACCCGCTCAGCACGGTATCCACGCCTACCACCTAATAAGAACACCCGCTCACGTGCACCTCAGCACGGTATCCACGCCGACCACCCAATAAGAACACCCGCTCACGTGCACCCGCTCAGCACGGTACCCACGCCTACCACCTAATAAGAACACCCGCTCACGTGCACCCGCTCAGCGCTGTATCCACGCCTCCCACTTAATAAGAGCCCACGCTCAAGTGCATCCGGCATGCAGCGCAGACATTGGAAGCCGTTGTTTCTGAAAACACCCGTGGTTGTAAGGCCCTCTTTTTGGGAAGGGCCCCTCTATTTGCAGCAGCTTGCAGAGCCTGACCTTGGATACCCCTGGTTGCCCAGCAGCTTGCAGAGCCTGACCTGGAAGCCGTTGGTTTTGAAAACGCCCGTGGTTATAAGGTCCTCTTTTTGGGAAGGGCCCCTCTTGTTCATTGCCCAGCAGCTTGCAGCTTGCAGCTTTCCAAACTGTACGTCTGGCAGTTGACAGATGTCGTGCGGGTTGTGGTGTTTTTTTAAGGCTGCATGGCCGCGCTGCTCGGCTTGTTAGGCTCCGTGCAGTAGACTGATTACGTGTGACACAAAGCACGGCATGTTGTGACAACTGGATGTCTTCAGCTTGAGTGAATTAAATAGATAACGTGTGATACACAGGGTGGCATGTAGTGATGCCTAGATGTTTGTAGGTTTCTGTGTCGCAGAGCACGCGCGCTCATTTTCATGGAGGATCGATTCCTTTCTTATGTGCATGAGAGTGGGCCACCATCCCCTTTGGTCGGCGCAGACTCTCCGCACACACAAGCATACAAGCGGTGGTACCGAAGGCAGATGGAGGTAGCCACAGCTTTCCCATCCGGGCCCATAGAGGTAAGCGACGGCGCTGAGAACATTGTCGATAGCGACATGGACATTTCCTTCGAGTCTGAAGGGATGACTGAGGGCACCGACGCATCTCTAGGCCTGGCGTTATCGCCTTCTCCTATGACATCTGCGCACGGGGATAGTTTGGATGAGATCCAATCTGACATCACCAATGAATCAGTTTTTTGGAGCATGTCCTTCTCGCAGAGACCCAGGGTTTCGCAGGAAGATGACCTCGTGGAGCGTGCATTAGCTCGTGATGAGAGCGACTACTTAGAGAATCAGGTTGGGCCCTGTGAGTGTTCTTCACCAGAAGCTGGGGCGGAAAATCGTGGGTATGATTTCCGTGCTTTGGCTGCAGGTGCTGCACGTACTGCAACGAAGTGGGGTCGTTGCCCAGCCCATCAGGAGCCTCGCCGCCCAATTTGTCACGCATCGGGACCGAACAAGGGCAAGGTAGTTCTCCGATGCGCTCAGTGGTGGCAATTTCACGAAGGCCAGCGCACTATCAGGCTTACACAGAGTCTTCCGAAGCAAGTTCGGGAGGATCTCTTGGCAATTCGTCAAGACGTTCGGTTCGCACTGCGATGCGCAGCTGACCTTGGATACCCCTGGTTTTGAAAACACCCGTGGTTGTAAGGTCCTCTTTTTGGGAAGGGCCCCTCTGTTTCTTTGCCCAGCAGCTTGCAGAGCCTGACCTTGGATACCCCTGGTTGCCCAGCAGCTTGCAGAGCCTGACCTGGATACCCTTGGTTTGGAAAACACCCGTGGTTGTAAGGTCCTCTTTTTGGGAAGGGCCCCTTTGTTTCTTTGCCCAGCAGCTTGCAGAGTCTGACCTTGGATACCCTTGGTTTTGAAAACACCCGTGGTTGTAAGGTCCTCTTTTTGGGAAGGGCCCCTCTGTTTCTTTGCCCAGCGCTGACCTTGGATACCCCTGGTTGCCCAGCAGCTTGCAGAGCCTGACCTGGATACCCTTGGTTTGGAAAACACCCGTGGTTGTAAGGTCCTCTTTTTGGGAAGGGCCCCTTTGTTTCTTTGCCCAGCAGCTTGCAGAGTCTGACCTTGGATACCCTTGGTTTTGAAAACACCCGTGGTTGTAAGGTCCTCTTTTTGGGAAGGGCCCCTCTGTTTCTTTGCCCAGCAGCTTGCAGAGTCTGACCTTGGATACCCTTGGTTTTGAAAACATTCGTGGTTGTAAGGTCCTCTTTTTGGGAAGGGCCTTTCTGTTTCTTTGCCCAGCAGCTCCAGAGCTTGACTGGCAGGAGTGGCTCACAGCTGTCATAGGCATGGTGAAGCTGCGGTCGTCACATTTTCAGCGCCCAAGATCTGTTTTGCGCAGGCCTGCGTCTCGCAAGCCGCCTCCGGCAAAGTCGAGGAAGGCGTCGCGAGAGACCAACCGTCAGCATATCAAAAAAAAACTCCGATTGCAGCTGGCGCCTTCAAAGGTCAAAGCCACGCGTGTGTGGAAGAAAATTCCTGCTGCTCCAGGGCTTGAAGCTGTGGCCTCGTGGACTGACGCTGCGTGCAGGAAGTACTTGCGCGAGCACAACTTTTTTGCCAGAAAGACTTCACGCACGTGTTGGAGCTGCGGCTCTTCGTATCACAATGCAGAGAAGAAGTCCAAGAGCGAGAACGTTACTCTGCGCTGTTTCAACCGGGACTGCGATAAGCGGTTGGGCAACTGCATGTACAGCTACACCCCGTTCTACAAATCCATGAGGCGCTCCAACCAGCCAGCCGTCACCTTCAAGCAGATGCTTCTGCTGCTCTGCTCGTTCTGCGCGCGCATCCCGATGGACAGCGCTTGCGCTTCGGTGGAGTGTGAGACCGGAAAGAATGCTTTCTTCAAGAACGTGCGCTACATTTACGCCTGCTGTGCAGTTGTGGCTGCGTTTACTTTGTTGGAGAAGCAGGAGAACAAGCAGTTTAGCGCAGCTCTTCTGGATGTGGATGGCACAGGCACAAGCCGCCACAAAGATGGAAAGAAGAGAAACAAATCCAGCTGTCAAAAAGGTGGATCTCTGGGGTCCAAAGACGTGCCTCGCCCGGCCAAGCGCAGGAAGCCGCTGGCGATCAAGAAGACGGTGCACGCAGGGCGGGTCTTTGTCATCAGAGACCGCGACTCCCGAGACAAAGTCTGGGTCCCACTGCCAAATAGGCGTTTGACGAAAGGCGCGCCTGGTCCGCCCCGAGCGCATAGAGGAGATTTATTCGGCGATGGCCAAGCACATCGGCAAAGAATGATATGTGGGGGCAGACGCAGGGCATGCAATCCAGACCACGTGCAAGAAACTTGGCTTTGCATGCTCTTCAGCCAAACACAGCGCAGAAGTGTACACGCCGCTGGTGACCTTGCAGAAGAAGAACCTCACGAAGGGCCAGATCAAAACGATGCAGAAGTTTGCCAGATCTACAGAGAAGAACCAGAAGCGGGGTCGCAAACATGCAGTGTTTGTGGAGTCCTCCCGAGGGTTCAAAACCCTTGGGGGGGGACAATTGTGCAGAAAATTGCTTCATGCACGCAAAAAACGCTCTCCCCTTTGACATTTTTGACCAGGAAAAACCCTGGGACATACTGTGAGCGCCCGAGGAAGTAGACGGATGAAAACATTTGATGCGCCGCTTTGGGTGGGACACGGAGGCAGCCAAACATGTTTGCAAGATTCTGGCATTTGCTTGAAGTGGTTCTTGTTCGTGCAAGACATCCCCTTGGTTGAAACGTTTTTTGGGGGAAGAGCAAATTGTTTGTTTGTGAGAAAGTGTGGCAAGACGCATGTGCTGAGGTGGACATGTCATCCCTTGACCAAACCAACCCCTTTGTTGAAACACTTTTTCCAGGAACCTGATGTTTTTTTTGCTGAAAGGGTTGTCGCAAACCCTCGATTTTTGCAAAAATAGAGGGTTGACAAAAAGCTACTTTTGATGGATGGAACAGCGAAAAAACACCGCTATTTGCAGGGTTTCGTGAGGTTTCAGCTAGCTTGTCCCTTCATGGCCGCGGCATTATGTCGGTTCGGGGCGTTGTTGTCGTCGTCGTCGTCGTCGTCGTCGTCGTCGTCGTTGTCGTTGTTGTTGTGGCTGTGGCTGTGGCTGTTGCTGTGGCTGTTGCTGTTGCTGTTGCTGTTGCTGTGCTGTTGCTGCTGTTGTTGTTGTTGTTGTGGTGGTGGTGGTGGTGGCGGTGGTGGTGGTGGTGGTGGTGGTTGTTGGTGTTGTTGTTGTTGGTGGTGGTGTTGTTGTTGTTGTGGTTGTGGTTGTGGTTGTGGTGGTGGTGGTGGTGGTGGTTGTGAAAAAAACGCGTTTTAACTCGAGGCCTCATTATGTGGCCTCGGTGGGGATTATTTGAACGCACTTTAACGCGCTTTGACTCGGCCCTTTGGCCTGCGCTGCATCTTTCCAAGGCCAAACGTTGACCCGGCAATTTCGCCATGTCTTCTTTTTTGTCGTGGCTGCCATCCAGCAGTGTCGCAGTGGGAAACCTGTCTGATAAGTGGTTTAAGGTCAGGCATGTCTGTCATGAAACAAGTACAAAGTCTGCTTGGCCAATCCTGCGGTTTCTTGATTAACAGTAGTCGAGCCACTCATATCTCTACTTGTTGCTGGTCTAGCGCGGTACTCACCTCAACACACGGACTGCGAGACAGCACCTACCAGTGGATACATCAACTTGAGGCCTTTATGTTCAGGTCGGCCCCTCTGAGCAATCTAAGCGCAACCTTTGCTTCTTTTCTTAGGTCTCCGGGCTTCTAGGGAACCTTCAGAAGCTGCCAAATGGATGATTCCATGCTGGCGCGCTTCGAAAACCATCTTACAAAGGGCTCCTGAGAGCTGCAGAAGAATATAAAACAATAAGAAAACTGATTTCTCTGAACTGTCTCATTCGACTGGTGCTTTTGGAATCTAAATGCCGAAAAGACCTGGCTTTCCGAGAGAAACCGAGAAACCGACACAGCAGCTTCTATGAAATAAGTCACCGTACCTCTTTCCGGCTAACGAGATCTCATAAGGGAACCCCAAAATGGGGCCTGAATTCCTTTTGGTTTCATAGCCGGGCCCAAATCTTTCTGCAAGAGTCGAACAAAATGCTATGCCATACTTGTCCGGCCTATGCACATTGGAACATTAGAGACACCCCTGGTTTTGTGCAAAACATAGAGGGTCCCCCATGTCCGTCCCCAATGGTCCGTGTTCGGAGACTACCGAACATAGCCCTCGCCAAAGGCACGTTGATGGAAGAGGGCGATATGCAAAAAGGCGCCCTGGTAGCTGTCCGGGCCCCCCTTCAGGCGAATACACCGCCTGCGGCTCGCGGAGGAAACGCGCGCCGCTCCACGGAAAAAAAAGAGGGGTAATTCCACCTGAAAGGCGATGAAACATATGCAATGACCCCTTTTGAGGGGAGGCTTCATGGGCTCTCGGTGAATTATAACAAACCGCCGTTCTGTGTCGCGTTTCGCGCCCACCCATCAACTTCAGCTACATGGCAGAGGTTTGCACGCGCCTGTTCTGAAAAACCAAGTGGTAGAACCAGCAAAGCAGAAGGCCAGGAGTCAAAGGCGGTGCCGACGAGTTCAATCTTACTGCGCTGTCATCCGACAATAAGGTATCAAGGAAATTTGCTGGTGACCCCCTAGACAGGTACCTGGAGTCTCCATGACCCTTAAAAAGATGGGGTCGTTACCCAAAATAATGGGGTCATGGACTCATGCAAACTCCAGGTACCATCCTTTAGGGGCTCCCCATATCTTTCCCCACAAATCACCCCATCGACAAACTCTCAAAGCGGCTCAAGGGATGTTGAAACGGGCGGAACTGGGGAAAGCTTAGCAACCTGAATGTTCCCTAAGGTTTCTTGCTAAATGGGTCTCCATGGCTGAAACCTCGCTTACAGCTAGCATTTTGGAGACCTTGGGCAAAAGGTGCCTCAGAATTGGCACACGGCTTCCTTCTAGTGTCCCAAACGGGGGGGAAGTGCCGAATCTTTAGAAACCCACACATTCATGTTCACGTTCCTTTGAACGCAATGCCAAAGGATGTGCATACAGGTTATCTATCCTGGTGTGGGTGGAACCATTCTTCGGTTGGTTTTAAAGGGACACCCAAACTAAAACCCACCCATTTTGGGGGTCCCCCTAAAAAAAGACGAGCCCACACCAAATCCATTGGACCATCCTGCGCGTTCGCGCCAGAGGGC